GGCCCCACAGCTGGTGAGGGGCAGCCCAGGGAAGCCCTGCTGCACCGACCGCTGTCCTGCCTGTCCCTCCCAGCCTGGTTCGGAGCTGCCCCAGCCCAGCCTGGGGAGGGTGAGCAAGCAGCCTCTTCCCACCACAACCCGGAGCCCCCTGATACTGGTGCAAGGTCACGAGGGTGTGCAGGCAAGCCAGGTGGCCATCTGTGGTGGGGAGGACCACAGGGCCGGGTCCCACAGTGCCGAGTGCCCCAGAGGCAAGGGAGGCTTCTTAGGGGCTGGTCTTCCTCTGCCTAGCAGGCCCCCTGTCACCCCTGGCCCCGGCCGCCCCCTTCCTGGAGCTGCACTGGGTAGCCCAGCCTGCGGCCCCTGACCTTGAGCTGCGCTGGGAGCCACTGCTCCCATCAGCGCCCTCCAAGGCGGTGCCTGTTCACACATGGCCACTGTGTCTGTGGGTCTGGACCACAGCTGTGGGTGCCAGGAGGCTCTGGCCTTCCCTTTCGCTTTGGGGGTAGGGTTTAGGGTTAGGGATGGGACCGCTGGTGACGGTGCTGCAGACATGGGTCTTCATGGGTGCCTCCAACACCCACGGAGGCCTGGGGAAACCCCGAATGGGGCCCAGGCACAGCCAGCCAGCGGGGCAGCATCTTAGGGAACTCCTGTCGCAACGGATGTTAGCTGTGACCATGTGCCAGGATGCTGGTGGGTCCCAGATACAGCAGCCCGAAGCTTGGACCCCTGAGCGGCATGCACCCCGCTATGTCAGCCATTTCCCACCCCCCCCACCAAGCAGGGCTTTTGTTTCCCGCATCCAGGGGTCTACCCTGGCTACCTGGAGGGAGCCTGGCGCCTGACAGCCTTGAGGTCCCTAGCCCCAGTCCTGGAGCCCCTCATGGTCACAGAAGGGAGCTGGCAGGGTGAGGTGTGTGCTGGGCTTCGCACCCACGTCCAGGGCCTGGCATTCCAATCCTTGCTCACCTGCCCCGCATCTTCAGGAAGGCTCTCCCGGCTGAACCCTTGGACATAAAACGGCCAGAGAGTGCCACCTGGTGGGCAGGAAGGACCCCACCAGTTGGTGCCTCCCAGCCAAGGGTCCCGTGTGCCCCTGGCCACAGCTCAGGTGGACTCTGCGGGAACCAGGCCCCAGCCGGCCTGCCCTCCCGCTGCCTGTGGAGTCACCCCCCAGGCCACGGCAGGGCGGCAGGCATCTGGGCTTGGGGTCTGGTTGGAAGTGGGCCTTCTGTGCTGGGCTCGAGTGGGGTTAATAGTCATACTAGGGTGAGAGGCCACAGTAGGGCAAAGGGCTCAGGGTCTGGGAGCAAAGCTGTGGCTGGACACTCGCTGCTGCAGAGCTGGACAACCTGAGGTTTGTTTAAATGGGTTTTTCCTTCTTGAAACAAACAACAAAGCCATTTGCTGCCTTTGTCTTCCTGGGCCCCTGCGGTGTCGTGCTGGTGATGACATGATCATTCTGTTGTGTGAGTGGCCTGGCCCAGGGGGGATGGTTGCGGGGTCATGCTGGAAGTCTCCCTCAGGGGACGGAGCAAGAAAGAATGTGTGTGCAGGTGCACAAGCACAGACACACATCTGTACCCACCCGTGCGCCATAGGTGTGCCAGGTGCTCATGACCCCGGACACCGCCACCCGCAGCGGCACCTCGGGCTCTTCTTGCTCCTCGTCCCATACTGGCTGCAGGGTGTTGCTCCTTTGCTCGCGGAACTGAATCCCCTCCTACAGCTGCTCTGCCCGCTCCCCGTGGTCCCACTGCCCCAGCTTCAGACCTGATGGACTGCGGTACCCTTTGTGGTCCTGGCCCCCTTCCCTTTCTGCTGTTGGTCAGCACAGCTTTTCGTATTTCCAGTCCTGGGTGTCCCCCTGGCCCTTGACACAGAGAGCGTCCCTGGCAGTCACCCCTCTCGCTGAGGTTGTCACAAGAATGAAATGAGGTGCTGACCCCTCTTGTCCTCTGGGAAGAGGTGGGGCATGAGCAAGACCCCACATGGGTCTCCCTGGCTGTTAGTGGGTGCCCATCCTGAGGGTACCTGTGAGGCCTTCCCTGTAGGCATCTTTAGCGGATGGTGGAGGGGCAGTGAGCTGGAGTCAGGAGTGGGCCCACTCAGGCCCTCAAGGACCATTCCTGTTGGCGTTTGGATGTGTCCATAATTTCTTCAAGCCTCAGTTTTCTCACCTCTAAAGTGGGCATGATGATGCTTCCTGAGCAGACTTACTGAGGGGACTGGAAGAAAGGGTGTGTGTGTGTGTGTGCATATGTGTGCACACATAGTACCTGTAGTGTGTTCATGCTGTGGTGACACAACAGACCTTGGTCTGTTTCACGAGTTCATGGCCAGCAGGGCCTGGGCTGTAGGCACCTGCCTGTGGGCGCAGAGAAGGGCTCTGGAAGCCAGAGCCAGAGGTGCTGAGGCCGTTGGCGGCTCCGTCCTGGGGTTGGCTGGGGCGCGGGACTTGAGTGAGTGAAGCCTCCATGTGGGCAGGGGTTGAGTGGCTCCCCTGTGTGGCCTTGGGGTCTGGGGGGTGACCCTGGAGGGGACAGGTCTGCCTGCTGCCCAGGGGCTGTTGGAACCCTCCTTCTCCCCCCAGGATCATCCCCTCACTACGGAGGGCAGGGCACGAGCTCCCTGGGGACCAAGAGCAGTCTCCTAGCTTCCACGGGCCTCATGACCTCATGTGCAAAGTGGCTCTGAGGGTCACACTCCTGTCACCTGCTGCAGTCTCGGGGGCAGGGTTTTGACTGTCCCAGCGTTGGTGGGGCTCTAGAAACTGGCTTGTTTTATAGATTTGAAAATTCCAGTCCGCAGCCTCTCAGAGCCACTCCTGGTTCTGCCCATCTGTTTGGTCTCCCCATCCCTGTAGGTCCACTTTCAGGTATGTGGGCATTGGGTGGTGGGGGAGGCCCACCTGCCACCCTCCTTCTGCTGCTGAGTCTGGAATATCATGCTGAATAACCCCTACCCTCAGCCCAGTTCTGTGACCAGGGCCTGCAGAGGGATTGGGGGGACCCACAGGAGGGCTGCACCCCAGGACTAGCACCATCAAGGAGACTGAGGCTGGAGGCTAAGGCTGGCCACCTGAGGTTGCCGGGTGCCTGCTGCCTCCTTCCAGGCCCCGGGACCAGCCAGGCTAGGGAGGTGCAGGGGTGCATGTGCTGGTGGAGGTGGCAGGAGGGGAGCCTGCTTAGTGCCCATGGGTCACCATGGCAACAAGCACATCCTTGGGGGCTTTTGTGGTTTCCTGCGGCAGCCAGTGCTGCTTGGTATCCTGCAAGTACAGGCTATTTGGGTGGGAAAGCCCAGTCCTGGGATGGGGGGCCTTACACAGTGGGTGGGGGTTGTCTTTGCATATGTACGTATGCACGTAAGCATGCATGCACACCTGAAACCTGGCCTGTGGAGGCCCCTGTGAAGGTATCATGCTCACATGATTGGGTGACACAGCCCACGTTCCGAGGTCTTTTCCAAGGGCAGGATGAGCTGGTTTCCCTTGCCGTGGTGACCCTTCCTACCTGGTCCCCCCAGTCCTGCCTCTCTTCCCCGTGTGTGGATATCCAGAATGAGCTCAGAGGCTTGAGCAGGAGTCCGGGCCGCACTTGCCATTGTTCCAGCCTCTTGGGCTCACACTGCCTCCAGGAAGCCCTCCCAGATATCCCATTAGCTGGCAGCACAGAAGGCCCAGGAGCAGAGGCACATCAGTCAGAGGTCAGCTGTGACGCCTCGGGCAGTCTCCTCACCCTCACTGAGCCTCTGTTTCTTCCTGTTCAGTGGAGACAGGCATGGCAGCCACCTCAGTACCCATTAGGACCCGGTGAGGTGCTGCTGAGACCTGCTGTGACCTGAGGGACCAGTGATGGCAGGTGTGCTGGGTCGGGTGACGTGGCCCTGAGGGATCAGCTATAGGGAACTGAGAGGTTGGGGTGCTTAGTGGGCAGAAGAGCTGGGGGCAGGCAGGAAACCTCAGGGGCTGAATGGTACATGGTCAGACAGAGACAGTCCTTGGGGAAGGGGCGTGTTGGAGCTGGAGTGGAGGGACAGGGGGGCAGCCCAGGGGTGGGGCTGCCAGTCCAGAGTTTAGGGGACACCTGGCTGGCCCCCCCACAATGTCCTGACCACGACGTCCTGTGGGCACCAGATGATATGAGCTTCCCCAGAGCTCTGGCTCAGTGGGGGCGTGAGGGCAGCTTGGAACCCCCAGCTTGGGGGCCATGCTTGTGTGTTGGGGGATCATGTCGTGCTGTCCTGGGCACTGTAGTTTCCCCCATCTGGTGAGGGTGAGCCACGAGGGACTCACATGGACCAGGTGTTGCAGAAGACGGGATTTCACTGCCCTCAGGACAACACTGGGGGGCCCTCGGTGGGCAGTCAGTAAGAAGGTGACTTGGAAACGGCAGGCTGCAGGGACGAACTCTACTGTCTGTCATTCTTGGGGAAAGTGACGTCCCCGTCCTCGGAGATCAAACAGGTCTTGGGTCTCTGGGCCCGGAGCCTGGCATGTGGTCAGCAGCCAAGTCCTCAATCTCTCCCACTTAGTGGGCCTGGGTTCCCCTCCTACACCCCCAAGGTCTCACAGCCTCTACTAGTGCCACCCCAGAGCTAAGGCAATGTGACAGCCCCAGGGGCCCGCTCCAGGGGGGCTGGTGTGGGAGGGGGTTCCTGCAGCCCTGAGAGCCTGAGCTCCCTGGAAGTTGTCCATGAACCCCCAGAAATGGGAGCTCTGCCATCCCTGTGTCCCCTGGCGAGGCCAGTGTGGTGCCCAGGGGCCGGCCGCAGATGGCATGCTTGGGCTGCCGTGGCTGCCCCCAGGGTCCACCTGCCCTGGGCCTGGCAGCTGGGCCTCCGAGTGCCGGGTCTTGGAGCAACAGTGAGGGTGCTGAGGCTCAGACCGCAACAAGTTGGGGGGAGTGCAGAGCCAGGGATGGGGTCCAGCTGGCCCCTGCGTGCACCTGGGACAGGGACGCAGAGCTGCTCGTCACCGCTCTCTCCCTTGGCAGACGGTGCCCCGCTCAGCGAGTTCTCCTGGTCGTCCTCCCTGTCCGTGGTGGCCGTGTCCTTCTCCGGGCTCTTCACCGTCATCGCCCTCATGCTGGCCTGCCTGTGCTGTAAGAAGGGCGGCATCGGGTTCAAGGTGAGGGCTGGGGGTGGGGGGCTGAGGACAGGATCCCCAGGGCTGGTCCTCTGGCATCCACTCGGCACTGGCCTGCCTTCCCTCCTGGGGCCGCCTGGGGATCATGGAGACCCAGGCCTGGGACCCCATAAGCCCCTCTTCTGGGGGTGGCTGACAGAGGTGTAGGGGCTGTCAGGGACCCCTCCCACTGCCTCCCCCAGTTTGAGTCCCCTCCATGGGGGCAGGGGCTCATTACCATCACCTCCCAGCTCAGGGCCAGGTCTCTGTGGTCTCTACCTCCAGGGACAGTGAGGAAGGGCCTTGGTGGGGGGCAGGGGCTCTGTGCTCAGCAATTCCTTGAATCTCTGCTCATTCAAATCAGCAAAGGAAGACCAGAGTTGCCCAGACACACTTGCCGTCCTGCCAAGCAGCTCTCTGGCCAGGGTCACCTTACCCTGGGGTTTTCTGCCCCGTGAGGAAAGCATTGTGTGCTGTGTAGGAATCATGGAGCAGGGACAGCAGGAGTCGCCATTGCTGTTTCTGGAACATCGGCTGGATGCTGGGCTGCCTTCCCTCAGGCCGCCCTGGTGGGGCTAGGATCCTGGGCTGGATCCCAGGGCCGAGGTGCCCCTTCTAAGGAGGGTAGCCGAGGGGCATCCCCTGGGGTGCTGTTCCCCAATCCTACAAGTACCCTCAGCTGCCCCCATGTTCAGCTTCTGGTCTTCTGAGCGTGCAGGACCAGGAGAAAAAGCTGGGAACTGCGGAGCACATCTAGGGCCCCCGCCCCCAGCCCCGTGGGCCGTGTTCTGCAGACTTTGCTGCCTGTGGTCATTCTCCCGCCCCCTCAGCTGCCCCACCCTGGGCTGGAGGTCAGATTCCTGGGCCGGCAAGGTCAGGGGGGAGGGCTGTCCTGTGGCCCAGCATAGCACCACCCCCTCCACCGTTCCCATTCTAAGTGACCACACTGCAGCCCTGCCACCCTCCTTTTAGAAGACAGTGCCCTCCCCACACATGTCTCATCACTTGGGGGCCAGGAGAGCTGAATCCCCCCAGTGCTTGCCTTTTTCCAAGGTGTCTCTGCCACACTTCATGGCCGTGTCATCCTCCCAGAGCCCTCTGAGGAGTGGGCCGGGGAAGCGCAGGGCCTGGGCAGCAAGGCCATGGCCCCAGAAGCCTTGGGTCCACACCCGAGCCCCTGCACCGTCTCCCTGACCTGCAGGCACAGTGGGCTGGGCCAGGCGATGCTGGCATTTTCCTGGAGGATCCTGGCGCCAGGCGAGGCGGTGGCGGGGGGAGGGCTGGGCTGGGGGCGGGGGCCCGGGTCGGGTTGTATAAGTCAGCCCCTCCTCAGGGTTCTGAGAGAACAAGGCCCCAAACAAGGGCCAGCGCGGCCCCCTCCTACCCGTGCCCTCCTCACCTCCTGAGGACATGGTGCCCGGAACATTCCAGCACCAGCGCGCCTCCGTGGGAGGGCCGGCTTGTGCAGCAGGCTCCTGCCTGGGCTCCCCCACCTGGAGCTGCACTGGGGGAAGGGGCTGGGCCACGATGCTCACACTGTCCTACCTGATTGCCCGCTGCGCTGGCTCCATCCGGCGGGCCTCCAGGTGGCAGCGTCAGGTAACCAGCTGGGGCTGCGGCCAGGCCCCTGGGGGTGGGGGTGGGCATCTGTGCCCTCTTCAGTCACGTCTGGGATTACAGGGCGAGGAGAGTGGTTCTGACGGCCCCAGAGTGGTCGCCTGGGGAGGGGGAATCCCTTGTAGACCCGTCCCCAGAGGCTCCGTTGTCTCAGGGTGCAGTCCAGGACAGGTCTGCAGAGACACCCCAGAGGGCTCCCAGCCTCCTCCTTGCAGCCGAGGAAATCGAGGCCCAGAGAAAGCAGGGTCCTTGGGTCTTAGCACTGGGGGAGGAACCCAGGCCTCCTGGGTCCCAGGCCGGCTACCTGTCCACAGGGGCAGCCCTACTGCAGCTCCATGGAAGTCGTGCGACCCTCGGCTTCTGTTTCCCGCCTGGTGGTGGTCAGTCTGGGTCAGACAGGCCTGTGGTGCTGGAACTGGGGTTCTGCTTCTGGCCTGGGGCTCCTGGGGGACTTGGCCATGGCTCAGGAATGTGAGGGGGGCTTCCTCGGACAGAGGCAGGTGGGAGGTTGTGAAGTTCAGCATAGCAGCTGGGCCCAGGAGAGACCCAGCCTGGCGCCCAGGGCCAGGCTCTTAAGGAGCCTGGGGAGAGGATGGATGCTGGCCCGCCTGGGTCAGGTCCCAGGGCCCTGCAGGCAGATGGCCGTGGCAGGTGGCAGCGCCTGCCCGGGGGTGGAAGTGGTCGGGGAGGTGGGCTGTCAGGAATGCTTCTTGTCCTGGAGGGGTGGGGGCACTTAGTTGCTTGTTCACTGGGGCAGGGTTGGGGGTTGTGATGGAGCCCCCGTCCTGGGGGGGGCTCCAGCCGTGACCCTGAAGCGACTGACCGTGGGTGCCCCACCCAGGGTGAAGGCTGCACGGAAGTGGGGTGCTGAGACGAGTGGGGGGGCTGACTCTGGATGGGCTGGGGAAGCTGGCCTCCAGCCGCACCCCACCCTACTCCCTGCCACCAAGGGGCCGGTGCTGCCCGCCTCAACCTGAGCCTGGTAGGCCTGGTGTGGACAGGCTGAGGCCGGGGGAGGCGCGGCTGCCCTGGGGCTCATGGGCCCCTCCCTTGAGGCTCTGCCTGTCAGGGACAAACCCCCACCTACCCCCCAACCAACACAAAACAAACCCTGCCCTCCTGGGGCAGCTGGTGTCCCTGGGGGAGGGGGGCAGCAGGGAGTGGGGTCTGTTCTCTGCCCCGAGGAGAGGAGGTGGGTGGAGGAGGCAGCTGGCAGGGGTGCTGGTGGGAGCTGGGCCCTGGGAAGAAAGGGGCCTTTCAGAGCTGGCCTGCACCCCTTGTTCCCTCCGCGCCCTGCCCCCGACCCTCCCCGTTCTGGGGAGCCCTGGAGCTCACCGCGTGTGCACTGCTTGGCCCAGGAGTTTGAGAATGCCGAGGGGGAAGAGTACGCGGCCGACTTCTCGGCACAGGGCTCCCCGGCCACAGCGGCTCAGAACGGGCCCGACGTCTACGTCCTGCCGCTCACTGAGGTCTCCCTGCCCATGGCCAAGCAGCCCGGGCGCTCAGGTGAGTGACGCCCCCCCACCCCGTGGGCCCAGGTGGGAGGCTCGGGAGAGGCACGGGGTTGGTGTGTATCCCCTTCTGCTGGGATCTGGGGGGCTGTGAGCAGGCTTGGGATAGCTGGGGCTGCTGGGCAAGGGCCAGGGGTTGCTCTGTCTGGTTCTGGGAGGGGCACTGGTGTGCTGGGAGGAGGGGCTTCTCTGTGGTCCCTAGGACGAGGGCTCGAGGGGCAGGGCCCACCCCTCGCGGGGAGGGGCTCTTTGGGGTGGAGCCTTTTGCTCAGGACCCTGGGTGGGGGCAGGAGAGGCCTGGGTGGGCGTGTGCAGGTGCAGGCGGGGCCTCTCGTTGGCTTCCTTGCTGTTTCTCCCACTCGCCCCATCCCGTGGTCCCCCAGCAGGGTGGCCGCCAACATGGCAGATGCAGGGCCCAAACCACAGAGGTTAAAGGTCTGTAACCAAGCTGGACTTTGCACCTGCCTTTGCCTGGAGAAGGAAATGGCAACCCACTCCAGTATTCTTGCCTGGAAAATCCCATGGACCGAGGATCCTGGTAGGCTACAGTCCATGGGGTCGCAAAGAGTCGGACACGACTGAGCGACTTCACTTCACTTGCCTGATCCAGTGCTCTGAGAACTCCCAGTTGTGTCTGGAGGCTGGTGGGGTGTCTCCATCCCCAGGAACCCTTTCCAAGAGCTTCACGGCCAGGCTTGGGCCTGCCCCCAGCTCCTCCAGGTGCACTGAGTGGGGTGTCAGGCGCTGGGGGGGGGCTCTGTTGGCACCAGGGCCTGTGATACTCGGCCTGTTCCACTGGCTTGTGTTCTGGGCCCTACTGGGTCGTGCCCGCAGTGCTGCCCACCCTGGAGCCCAGCCTTCATCCTGGGCTGGGGGCTTCCAAGATACAGGGCTGGGCCCTGCCCCCAGGCCCCATGACTATCGCTCCCCACTCCCAACAGTGTCTCCTGGAGGAGAACTCACCAGTTAGGCAGGAATTTCAGGGCCCATAGGAGCACCCTATAAAATCTTGAAGGAGGGGTAGCTGCTATAGGAGGCCTTCCAACCTTCCTGGGTGACCGTGGGAGTCTCCGCCTGTGCTGACACCGGGGGCCGGTATGGAGCAAGGGGTCCCCTCAGGGGACACTTCACCCCTGGCCGGGGCCTGACAACTGCCCCTGGCAGTGTGTGTGCCTGGGACCCTGAGGAATCTTTGAGACCCAGCTTCTTCCATCCCTTAGGGGACTGTCCCTGGGGATGAGGGGGACAGACACCCAGGGGAGGGCAGTGATCACATTTTCCATTTTACAGCTCTGCTCTGCTCTCTGTTGGGAACCCTGCTTCTGGGGAGGGAGAGAGATTTGGGTGAAGCTGGGAAAGCAGCCCCCCTGGAGATTAAGGATTTAAAACCTGGACAGCAAGGGCCACCCCTCTACACTGCAGGGGAAGATGGCCCAGCCAGGCCCAGTCTTCAGGCTCCTCAGCCTGGCTCTGTGGGCACTGCCCCTTGGGTGCAGACCCCAAGACCCCTGTCCCAGCCTGCCTTGCCCCCTGCAGCTGCCAGGAGAGAGAGCTTTTCAACTGGCTGGCACTTGGCATGCTCTCCTCCATCACTGCCCCAGGGTCCACTGTCAGGGCTGCTGAGCCTGCCTGGGGAGACCCCAGGCTGGAGATGGAGGAGCCCCGGGACTCAGGGCCCAGTGGGACCCCTTACCCCCAATTCTGCTCAGCATTGAGGTCAGCACTGCCTGGGGTCTGCAGTCCCCGGGAACAGCCCCTCACCCTCGGAGTCTACTGGCTGGCCAGCTCAGCCTGCCTCCTGGGCCCTCTGGGTAGCTAGCGTGGGAGCAGAATTCGGGGAATCCCTTGGGGCACAGGCGGCATGTGGGTGGGCTCAGCAGCTCTGGCCCTTCCTCTGGGGCCTTCACTGACCCTTCTTCCCTGCTGACCTCACCCGGCCCAGCCCTCAGGAGAATGGGCCCAGTGTGTTCCGTACAGGGCTGTGCCAAGCAGCCCCCAACAAAAGAGCCTTTGGGGTGCCTGGCGCTGGAATGCCAGCCTGTGGCAGGGGTGAGGGGATGGGCCACTCCACTGCCCTCCTCCCCAAGGCCTCCGCCCTAGCCACACTGCCTGCCTGGCCTTGCCTATGTGCTGGTCCCGGCTCCAGGGCCTGCTGTCTGCAGCCTGGCTTGTCCCTGTAGTCAGGGGCACAGCCTTTCCAGACCCACTTAGAAACATGCCCAGGTGTGGCTTGCAGGTCCACAGCTCCCCTGGGCAGCAGGCACCCTGCTTCTGATGGCAGCCCCCATCAGGAGGGGGCAGGGGCTCTGGGCGGCTTCCCAGAACAGGCCAGGCCGGCAGCCCCTTTGGAGGAAAGGCGAGAGAAGATGGGGTGATGATGGAGGCCGAGCTGGCATCCCTGAGCCCCCTGCCCTATTACAGTGCAGCTGCTCAAGTCCACAGACCTGGGCCGGCACAGCCTTCTGTACTTGGAGGAGATCGGCCACGGCTGGTTTGGGAAGGTGAGTTGCTGTCCCTGGGGTCACTGGGGGCAGAGGCTGGCAGCGTGGTCCCTTTTGCCTGGCAGGTGGAGCAGGCGGGCTGCCTCCCCAGTCCTGGGGTCTTCTCTTAAGGTGCACCCACTGAGCCCTCCCTGGGGACCTCCGGGTCTGGCATCCCTTCTCCGCAGATCCTGGTATCATGCTGGGAGGTACCTGTGACTGGACAGGGACAGGGAGCAGCATCTGGGTCCTGGCTTCGCCCTGAGCACCAGGCAGGGGGTGGGGGACGGTGGGTCCATCTTCCTCACGGCGGACCCCCAGAGCTCTGAGAACAGCTAGGGACCTTGGGGGAGGCAGACACCAAAGACAGAGTGTTACAGCCAGGAGGGTTTGCCTAGGAGGGATCCAGAACCCATTTTGCAGATGAGCAAATTGAGGCCTAGAGGAGCCCATAGACAGAGGAGCCTGGAGGGCTACAGTCCATGGGCTTGCAGAGTCGGACATGACCGAGGCGACTTAGCACACACTCAACTTGAGGCGCAGAATGAGCCAAGCTTTGGCCGGAGGAGCAAGGCTGGGGGTGGAGCCTGGGGAGGGTGGTGTCTGCCCACCTGGCGATGCCTGCCCCCCGCAGGTGTTCCTGGGGGAGGTGAACTCGGGCATCAGCAGCACCCAGGTGGTGGTGAAGGAGCTGAAGGCGAGCGCCAGCGTGCAAGAGCAGATGCAGTTCCTGGAGGAGGCACAGCCCTACAGGTGGGTGGCCCAGGGGACCGGCTCTGCTGGAGGGGCTGGGGTGGGGCACTGCCAGGGAGGTGGGGGTGCGGGCCCTGCAGACAAAGGCAAGCTCTGTGCTGTTGCGCTCTCCTCGGCCCTGCAGCGCCAGCCCCCCGCCCCCTCGCCCCCTCCCGGCCCTGAGTGCGAGTCGGGGGTGGCCTGTTGGCTCCCGCAGGGCCCTGCAGCACAGCAACCTTCTCCAATGCCTGGCCCAGTGTGCCGAGGTGACGCCCTACCTGCTGGTGATGGAGTTCTGCCCGATGGTGAGTCGCCCGCTCCCCCTTGTCCCTGCGCTGCACTTCCGGAACATGGGACTGGCATCCTGCAGAGGGGCCTTGGCGGAGCCGGGGACCCCTCAGCCCCACCCGGTGGGCCTCAGATCCCCCCAAAGTGGGGTCCAGGTGGCCCTGCACCACTGCCTTTCAGAAGTGGCCTAGCGGAGGAGGGAGGTGACCCCACCGCCATAGAGACTGCAGCTGTACGGGCTGGGCAATCACAGTGCCTGGGGTGGGGGTGGGGGCAGCTGCGTCCCCATCTGCCTGTGCTGCTCAGAGTCACAGCGGTTTTCCCAAGGGTCACCCAGGCCTGCTTGGGGGGCTCAAAGCCCTCACGTCTGGTCCACAGCCTCACTCATACTTAAGTCTCCAGCAGTGACTGCCTGTCAATGGCCTCGCAGGGCCCCTCCCAGACAGACAGATGGACAGATGCACACACACGCACGCACACACACACATGCACAGCTGAGCCGCCTGCCCACAGGGAGGTGCCCTTCCTCAGATGTGAGTCCCCCCTGCTGTCTATTTTTTGGACTCCCAGGGCTTCCCCAGAACAGTCGGGGCCCCTTAGAGCTGGGTGGTGCCAGCCGGTCAGGGAGTTGCCCGTGGACCCTCTGGTCACCGGCTCTGGGCTCTGTTGAGGCTCGGCATCACGGCCTGTGTGGCCTGTCTGCCGCCCACCATCCAAGGGGTGGCGAGCACCTGGCCCCAGGGGTCTGCAGGTGGGATGTGGCCCTGCTGGCCCTCAGGCTGGGGGTCAGCTTGGGGAAAGTGTCTGCTGCCCGTAGGATCATCCTGCTGACGGCTGGCCTCTGGGGGGTGGACACAGGGGCTTCACTGGGCAGCAGTAGCCCCGCAGAGTTAGCAGGACGCCTGGTCTCCCACGGGCCCTGCTGGGGAGGGAGGGCCTGGTGGCGGGCAGCTGCTCCCCACTGGCAGGTGACAGAGCTGCCCTTCTCGACAGGGGGACCTCAAGGGCTACCTGCGGAGCTGTCGGGTGGCCGAGTCCATGGCACCCGACCCCCTGACCCTGCAGCGCATGGCCTGCGAGGTGGCCTGTGGCGTCCTGCACCTGCATCGCAACAACTATGTGCACAGGTGAGGGCGGGGCCGGCCCGTGGGCTCTCAGCCTGGCCTCCACCCCTGCTCTGGAAGATGCGGGAGGAGGGCCCTCAGTGAATTGGTTAGTCTTTGTTCAGCATCTCGGGACCACCATGCAAAGGGATTTTATCAAATAAAAAGCACCAGGCAGAGGGGAGCTGGACACCTGCTTCTGCAGGAGGGTTAATCCAGGGGACACGCACTGTCTGGTTAGCCTGGGCAAGTACGTGGTAGGGCTGAGACCTGTCCTCTGTCCCCACGGTGGTCAGCACTGCCCAGTGGCCCCACGCTGGCCCCCGCTCTCCTCTGTCTCCCTCAGGCCCGGGGGGAGGGGTGGCTCTGTCCTGTTTCCCGCCCTGGCCCCCAAAGTCAGAAAGATGGGCCAGGGTCCGGCCTAGGGGGGGCGTGCCTGAAGAAGTGGCGATGGACGTGGCCCCGCCAGCCCCGGACAGCACACGGGCCGTCCTCCCCAACAATATCCTGGTGCTGAGTGATGACACACCAACTCCAGCATCAGTGATTTTGTTGAAGAGGGCAGCTGCCAGCCTCCCGACTGCCTGCCGAGCCAGCCTAGCCCACCCCACCCCAAGCACTCATCTGTGGCCCCCAGCACAGCTGCACTTTGGCTGAGGTGTGCTGAGCCCACGTTTGCCCCAGTGTCTTGGGTCCCAGACTCCCATGGGGCCATCAGGCAGGCAGGGGAGAAGCCAGTAGCCAAGGCTGGCCTTGGGTGGGAGATAAAGGTGGGCGTGAGCGGTCCTGCTGGGCGGGCACTCCACAGCACCTCCTGCCTGGGGCCCTGTGTGGACAGGGCCGGGGCAGGACCCATGGCTCTCCATTTCTCCACTGACGCTTGCCTCCAGGGAGCGGAGGGTGGCAGTGTAGTGGGCCGGAGCAGACTGCTGTGTCCCTGGGCTAGCGCGCCCCCAAGGGACAGGTCAGCAGACTGGTGTCTGAGGAGAAGCAGGGGAGTGGATCGGCTTCCAGTGAGGGAGGCCCCACCCAAGGAGAGCCCTTGGGTACCTTGCAGCCGGCCCTGGGCCTCATTTTCCTTGTCTGCATTCTAATGTGTGTTGCCCCGTCCACTCAGACCCTCAAAGTGTCCAGGCTGGGGCTCTGGGCAGAGGGAGGGTGGGTGGGCAGCCTCTTGGATGCCCCTTTTCCCTCACCCACCAAACTGAGCCCAGGACACCCTCGGCGGCAAGCAGCCCAGTCCCCTTGCTGTCCCAGGTGCCCCAACCTGGCACTGCCGGCTGACCCTACCCTCCCGCCCCCCAGTGACCTTGCTCTGAGGAACTGTCTGCTCACGGCTGACCTGACGGTCAAGATCGGCGACTACGGCCTGTCTCATGGCAAATACAGGGTGAGTGGGGGGGGCCGGACCAGGGCAGGGCCGCCCACGCGGGCCCGGGGTGACCCTGTCCCACGTGCCAACAGGAGGACTACTTCGTGACGGCTGACCAGCTGTGGGTGCCACTGCGCTGGATCGCGCCTGAGCTGGTGGACGAGGTGCACTGCAACCTGCTGGTGGTGGACCAGACCAAGGCCAGCAACGTGTGGTGAGTGTGAGCCCGGCGGTCCCTGTGAAGACGCCACAACGCTCTGTCTGTCTGTGACCGCAGCCCTCACGGCGGCCCCGCCCGGTGCCGAGTGAATGTCCTGTGAGGACCTGGGGCACTGAGGGGCTGAGTCCCACCTGCCCACCCACAGGCTCCCTGGCGTTGGAGGGGATGCAGACTGGCCACTCAAGGCAAGGCCACGTGTGGGAGGCTGTGCTTGTCTGTCAAGCCCTGTTGCCCTGTAGGAGGTGGCCAAGCACGGCCCCAGGTGAGGTCGTTGGGGTTCTGGAGCCATGACCAAGGCTCATGGCAGCGGGGCGGGCAGAGCTGAAGGGCCTGTGGAGGAAGCCCTGCCCCTCCTGTCCCCTCACAGGATCTACTGGGCCAATGCCCGGAGATGGCAGGGTCAGAGTAGCAAGTTGAGACGTGGGGCATCGTGGTAGCACTTGTTGCCATGTGAGGGGTGGGTAGGGGCTGGGGGTCTCCTGTGACCACAGCCTGGAGGCACTAGGCTGGGCAGGTGTTTGGACCCAGCACTGCAGCCTCTAGAGGCTTGGCCATGGTGGTCCCCCGTTCCTGGCCTTGACCCATCTCTGCTTTCCCCTCCTGTGCCCTTCCAGCCTAAGGCCTGTCCGGCCTCCCTCTGCTCCTGATGAACCCTCAGGGCCTGGATCCAGGGTTCAGCCCTCCTTCCTCCAGGGGTCTCCCCTGAACCATTAATTCTGCCCCCAACACGGACACTCCATTTCCCCACTCGACTCTCCATGTGGCTGACTCTTCCCTGCCTGCTTGCTCACCCACACTGACTGGTGTCCCCAGATGACTTTGGCCAAGGCCACTGTGACTTCTCTGTTGCCAAACCTGGTCTGTCCCTCGTGCCCCCAGCCTCCCAGGATGGCCTGGAGTCCCCAGGAGCTGGCGGAAGCCACCACCCACTGGAAGGACCCCAGTTGCCTTCTCCCAGCCCTCAGTGCGCTGACTGCCCGGCCAGTTCCCTTGGCCCACTCATGCTGGCTAGGGTGTCCCTAGGCCCCCCAACTCCCTTCCTCCAGCCTCCGCAGGAGCCTGGTGGGACTGGGAGCTTCTCCAGGGCAGCTCCTGCCCCTGGCAGTGTCTGAGTTTCAGCCCGGCAGGCTGAAATGAATGAATGAATGAACAAATGGACTTGGCTGGTGGGAGGCCAGTCTGGCTTTTATTTGTCCAGGCACCCTGGGCATGGGCTCGGACCTGCCCAGGTGGCACGTCCTGCCCATTTACTGAAGGAAGGCGCTGTCTTCTGGTCATGGGTGTGATGATGGGAGCTGCCCTTGGCACCCAAGGCCTCGAGAACACTTGGACAGCCCTCTGATAGCCGTCATCCTCACAGGTCCCTAGGCGTGACCATCTGGGAACTCTTCGAACTAGGAGCGCAGCCCTACCCCCACCACTCGGACCGGCAGGTGCTGGCCTATGCTGTCCGAGAACAGCAGCTCAAGCTGCCCAAGCCTCAGCTGCAGCTGACCCTCTCCGACCGCTGGTGAGGCCCCCGGTGCCAGGCAGGGGCGAGGTGTCCTTGGCGGGAAGGCCAAGGCAGAGAGGAGTGCTCTGGGTCCCTGGAGCCTAAGCGGCTCTTCCTGACCGCCTGGGTTTCCAGTTCACCCTGGCTGCCCCCTGGCTAACAGTGACCTCTGGGCCACCTTCCGTGCCCTCGGTGGAATGTCTTCTTTACCCAAAACACAAATTTGCCTGCAGGCCTGGCAGGGATGAATGGGCTCGGGGAACGGTGCCCTGATCCATGCCATCACCCACATCACTGAGCCCATTTTAGGAGACTCCCTTAACTACCCCCAGGGGCTCTTGAGTGTGAGCAGGAGGGGAACCCAGACTGGCTGGGGGCAGACTGGCTCACTCCTTGGGGGCTGGGGTTCTGGCTGGGCAGTACCACTTGTGTGTGGGGAGGCAGGGGCTGAGCCCCAGGGCATCCCTTCCCACAGGTACGAGGTGATGCAGTTCTGCTGGCTGCAGCCTGAGCAGCGGCCGACGGCCGAGGAGGTGCACCTGCTACTGTCCTACCTGTGCGCCAAGGGTGCCACTGAGGCGGAGGAGGAATTCGAGCGGCGCTGGCGCTCACTGCGGCCCGGTGCGGGCAGCGCGGGTGCCGGGCTAGGGGTGGCAGGCCTGGCCCTGGGGGGCACGGGTGAGCTGCTCGCCACCTCCTCCTTCCCGCTGCTGGAGCAGTTCGCTGGCGACGGCTTCCACGCGGAGGGCGACGACGTGCTGACAGTGACTGAGACCAGCCACGGCCTTAACTTCGAGTACAAGTGGGAAGCGGGTCGCGGCGCCGAGGCCTTCCCGCCACCAGAGGGCGCCCTGAGCCCGGGCCGAGAAGCGCGCCTGCAGGAGCTCTGTGTCCCGGATGGCGCGCCCCCGGGCGTGGTGCCGGTGCTCAGCGCTCACAGCCCCTCGGTGGGCAGTGAGTACTTCATCCGCCTGGAAGACCCCGCGCCTGCCGCGGACCATGACCCCGACTGCACTGGCTGTGCCCCCAGCACGCTTGCCGCCGCCCTGCGCCCCGATGGTAGTGACCACGATGAAGACTCCGACGGGAGCACGGCCGCCTCGCTGGTCATGGAGCCGCTGCTCGGCCACGCGCCGCCCGCGGATGGCCCCTGGGGCCACTGCGACTACTACCCATGCAAGAGCCACGCCCGTGACCTTTCCTGCGCCTCCCGCTCACCCTCACCAGAGACACCGATGCTGGCGGAGCCAGGAGCCGAGGATATCGACTGGGGCGTGGGGGCCTTCTGTCCCCCATTCTTTGAGGACCCACTGGGCATATCCCCCTCGCGGAGCTCTGGGGACCGACTGTCCCCGGGTGGGGAGGAGCTGGGGGAGGCTGAGGCGTCCAGAGCTGCCCAGTACAGACACTGGAGCTCCAACGTGTCTGCCAACAACAACAGCGGCAGTCGAGCGCCGGAATCCTGGCTCCCAGGCCTCTCAGGCTACACGGACTGCTGCCCTGGTGTGAAGCAGACCTTGTGGGCCATCCCTGAGCTGGGCCATCCTCTGACCCCAGAAGTTCCCAGAGAGTCTCTCCTTGGGCCAAAGGGGGCTTCCTTGGGTCAGGAGCTGGGCCACTGCCTCGGCCTCCCCCATCTGTATCCTGCTGAGGGCCTGACACCTGCCCCCTGCCTGGTCGCCTCCCCCTGGGCAGAGGCAGCCATAAGCGGGGGTGACAGCCCCCAGGCAGAGCCCAGGCTTGCAGAGGAGGCCGAGGGGTCTGTTGGACTCCAACTGCCCCTTCCCTCCATCCCATCCCCATCCCAAGAGGGAGCCCCACTTCCTGCCGAGGAGGCCAGCACCCCGCCCACCCTGCCTGCCTCACCCACGCCCACTGGCAGCCAGGCACCTGCCACTGAGCCAGCCCAGACCCTCGACAGCGACAGCGGTAGCAGCTCCCCTGAGCTGGAGGCTCCAGGGAGTGAAGATGAGGACACGACCGAGGCCACTTCTGGTGTCTTCACTGACTTGTCCAGCGACGGCCCACAGGCTGAGAAACTAGACGTGACACCAGCTTTCCGCTCCCTGCAGAAGCAGGTGGGGACCCCCGACTCCTTGGACTCCCTGGACATCCCGTCCTCGGCCAGTGATGGCGGCTGTGAGGTCTTCAGCCCATTAGCTGTCAGCACCCCTGGCGGGCAGCTCCGAGCCCTGGACAGCGGCTATGACACGGAGAACTACGAGTCCCCAGAGTTCATACTCAAGGAGGCGCATGAGCCCTGTGAGCCCGAGGCCTTTGGGGAGCTGGCCTCAGAGGGTGAGAGCCCGGGGCCCGAGACTCGGCTCTCTGCCTCCCTAGGTGGCCTCAGCGAGAAGAATCCCTACCGCGACTCTGCCTACTTCTCAGACCTGGATACGGAGCCAGAGCCCCCCGTGGGCCCCACGGAGAAGCACGGAGGTGTCCCAGTCCCCAGGCCGGAGCCTGATCTGGAGAGCCCGAAGAGCCCCAGGCTGCAGTCTGCACAGCCCTCCCCTGAGCTGGGGGTCCCCGGGGACGCACAGGGTGCTGGCCCCAGGGAGGTGCCACCACTGCCACTGTCACTGTCACTGCCTGAGGACTCTTCCCCAGAGCCAAGCGCCTGCCCCACAGGCCCCAGGCAGGAGCCTCCCTGGCCCCAAGACCCAGTCCAGGTGCCGCCCATGCCCAACCCCGTGAGTTCTAAGATATTCTTGCTGACTCCAGTCCGGCCAAGCTCAGAAAGCCACCGCCCAGAGCTCCAGGAGACCCTGGGACTGCTGTCAGGGTCGAACCTGCAGGAACAGACCGGGGGCCCAGGTGCCTCCAGAACCCCGCTCTGCCTGGCCCTGCCCGGACTCCCCGCGGCCCCGGAGGGGCGGCCGGAGGAGGAAGAGGAGGACAGCGAGGACAGCGATGAGTCGGACGAAGAGCTCCGCTGCTACAGCATCCAGGAGCCGAGCGAGGAGAGCGAGGAGGAGGTGCCGCCCGTGCCAGTGGTGGTGGCGGAGAGCCAGAGCGCACGCAACCTGCGCAGCCTGCTTAAGATGCCGAGCCTGCTGTCCGAGGCCTTCTGCGAGGACCTGGAGCGCAAGAAGAAAGCTGTGTCCTTCTTCGACGACGTCACTGTCTACCTCTTTGACCAGGTGGGCAGCCGCCCTGGGCTTGGCGTGGGGAGAGGGTGTCTGCGGTGGGACTGGAAGCCTTGGGCGACAAGTGCCGCTTTGATTCCCCCAGGAAAGCCCCACCCGAGAGCTCGGGGAGCCCTTCCCTGGTGCCAAGGAGTCACCCCCCACGTTCCCACCGGGCAGCCCAGGCTCCCCCAGTGCCTCCTGCCGGCCACGGCGGGCTGACCCCTCCCCCGAAGGCCCTGCGACTGAACAGGGTGAGCTAGGGGCGGGGTGAGGCGGAGGGGCGGGCCCTGGTGGAGGTGGGGCGAGGCGGAGGGGCGGACCCTGGTGGAGGCGGGGCGTGACATTACACTCTGGGCGGGGTCTCCCCATCCCATCCACAACTGACTACAGGTTTCTCGCAGACGGAGAGTTCGAGTGGAATGATGGTCTCATGCTGACGCCGGCCCAGGAGCCGGCCTCGTGCATCCCCGCCGAGACTGCCAAGTCCGTCGCGCCCAGCCCCTTCTCGCGCTTCACCGTCTCACCAGCGCCTGCGTCCCGCTTCTCCATCACGCATGTCTCCGACTCAGACTCCGGGTCCGTGGGAGGTAAGGCACCCGTCAGGCGCCTAGGCCCTGTGCTCATTATTTCTTGTTTTCTGGACAAGCTCAGTTTTCAGATGGGGGAACGGAGGCTCGGAGAGGTCAAGTCACGTCCGGCCTGTTTGTTGTGGCCACCTTGGCGTGTGTCCTCTTCCCTGGGGAGATGTAGTGCCCCAGACAGAGCTGACTGGGCCCTCCTAGGACTAGGCTAGGTGCCCGCCCCCTCCCAGCACATCTCAGATCTGATGGCCCTCGTCCAGGGGAGGTGGTGGTGGTTCAGGTTCCCAGGTGGTTCAGGCCCTGCTTAGGGGCCTTAGCTCACCCCTCCTTCCAAGTTCCACTCCTGCAACCTCAGACCAAGTGGGCTCATCCCTGCCCGGTTGCCCTCACCTCTCACCCCCATTCTGCTGGGCTTCCCAGAAAGCTCAGCCCCGCTAGGATGCCCCTAGTTGTCTTGTCCCCCAGGCAGACCCAGCCCTTCTCCCAGCTGCCCTTGACCTGCGGCTGCAGCTACTAGGGAAGGACCTGCCCGCCTGTCACAGTGTGTCCTTAATGGATGTCTCAGCAAGCACAGCTCACCAGGAGGCGGGTGTGTGATCCTGGCCAGCCCAGTACTGTTTGGGTCTGTTAGGGGAATTTCAGAGGGCTGATGCTGAGTTTTGTTGGGCCAGGTCCTTGATGATGCAGTAGGAAGGCTAAATTAGCTCCCACCTAGACAAGCAGGCTGGCAGGCCTGTTGCAGCCTCAGCTGTTCAGAGGCCCCTAAGCCAGGGATCGAGGCCAGGTGGGAGTCCCTGAATCCCCAGTGTTTCCTCACTCATGTGTTTGCCAGGTCCTACAGCAGGTGCTGGGGGCAGCTGTAAAGAGGCTTGAGCCCCAGGCGGCCCCTGCCCCCCTTGGAGCCTCTGCTGGTCCTGTCCCTGGCAGCAGCGAGGATGGACTGAGTGGTGGGGACTTTGATCCTGGCCGTGGTCAGCAGCAGCAGCTTCCAGCGCTTTGGTGCCCCCCTTGCCGCACCCTGCAGGAGCAGGGCGGGATGAGGCCCCCTCTGGCCCTGGACGGTGGCGCATCTGTGCACGGCAGCTCCGTGCTGCCCTGGGGGCAAGATCTGTCCTGGACACTTGGGTTTGCTGCTAGCCCCTAGGGATGCCCTACAACCCCCTCCCCCCCCCACCCTGGGCCGCCCTGGCCCCTGCTGTCAGACTGCTTGGCCCTGCCCATGGTTCCTATGGTGCACTGCAGGCCGCTGTGTCCCCGCTGCAGGTGAGAGGGCAGGCACAGGCCCGCTGGGGCGGCCTCTGCCTGCTTCGCCCCTTCTGCCGGTTCAGGGTTTGCAAGAAGAGGTCACCTGGCTCACGTGCCCCTGCTCCAAGTCGGTGGCTGTTTCCCCTTCACTGAATCAGCTAGACCGTAAGCGCTCCCTTCCTACAGGGTCTGGGCCGGCTCCTGCCGGTCCCGCTGGAGCCCTGCGAAGGGGCCAAGCTGGGCAGCCCGAAAGATGGGGGGCTTTCAGGTCGCAGTCTTGCCGCTGCAGCCCCGTCTGGAGGTGCCCATGGCTTCCCTCTGTAAGGTAGTGCCCAGCCCTGCCCAGCTGCCAAAGCAATGTGGGTGCACCCCATGGTCAGCGTCAGGGGGTTGCTGCTGCAGGAGCGGGGGCAGTGGGAAGGGGTGGGGCAGCACACGGAGTATTTTTGTAACTGCTGTTGTCAGAGCAAACTGAAATGGGACGCTTTTAAGTTATTGTTGCCAAAGAGACGTAAAGTTTATTGTTGCTTTTGGGGTGTGGGCGGGGACTTGTTTTGGGTTTTCTGTTTATTAGTTTGAGGCTTAGGATGCTGGTACAATGATCTTGTTCCTTTTTTGTCTGTTTTTTAAGAGAAATCAAAGCTAAGGAAAAAGCCTTCATGTTAAACGTGTGGTTCTTTTGGAGTCTGCAGATGAAGCCCTGGGCAGAACGGGGCCTGGGCTGTGCTGGGGCAGGGGTGGGGGTTGGGGGGGGAAATCCCTCTAGTCCCTTGTGACCACTGGGTGGGTGTAGGAGGGAGGCCACCCTCTTCACCCCGATGTCCTTGGCACACCTTGGTGAGGGGGACAGTGACCTTGGGCCCCCAGTGTGCCTGGGTGGGGGGTGTCTTCCCAGAGCAGGGCAGAGGGACTGACGCCTGCAGCCCTCGCATCCAGCCTGGTAAGCTGGCCCTGCCTAGCAGGGCAGGGGGACCCCTCTGGGAAGCTCTTCCCCCTTTCCCTCAGCACGGGGCGGTGGGGGGAGGGGTGGTGAGCCAGGAGCAAGGTGGGGTGTGAGGAGGTGGGGCACCTGTGCACCCCCACCTCGACCATCTGTCTTAGGACCTCGCCTCGCTCCACCTGGCCTGCCTCCAGCTTCCGCCAGGTGAGAGGCCTCCGGAGCCCCCCCACCCCATCCCGGCTTTGTGTTCTGGGGTGGGGGCAGGCTGAAGGTGGTGCAGGGCTCCTGAGCACCTCCTTGGAGGGTCTGGGAGGTGAGCGAGCACTGCCTGGGACATCGCCTGAGGTAAGGACTGCTGTCAGCAACGTGGTTAGCTTGGCTATATTTCAGCCTCAAACGTCAAATACCATGGACCCAGAAAAGTTTCTAAAATCTTGTATTTCAGCTGAAATAGGGAAGCAGCCAGGGCATCAAGGGGGGAAGCCCACCCAGACGTCCTGGGCCAGGACCGCCTCAATGGCACGCAGCTCAGGGACCCAGGGCACAGCACTGACCCCCTCCTTGGGGCCAGGGAGGAGAGGCGGGCCCCTGCAGCCATTCCTGGGTAGGAGTTCGGGTATGGGCGGGGAGAAGCCCCCAAACTGCCAGTGGGCACAGGGAGACCCAGCAGAGCCCCAGGCACGAGTCTGCCAGGAGGTTACGTGTTCTTAATAAATCCGTCTTCTGAGAAAACAGGGCAGACCCTCCCCTCCCCTCGCCCTTGTGTCCTGCCTGCAGGCACGCACAGGTGAGTGGCCTTGTGATTGACCGGACAGGGGCTCCCCTTGAGCTCCTCCCCAAGCCGATGGGATGGCCTTCCATGCACCCTGGAGGCTCCCCGGCCTACACAACAGACATGCCTGGTCCGAAAAGTTGGCCCCAGGGCCCGGGGCCAGCCCCCCTCATTCTCCTTAACCATGGCCCAGGTGCCACCTCCTGACCCTGTGGGAAGAGCCGGGGTCCAGCCCAGACCAGACTGAGGTGGGGGCAGAAGGGTTTGGAAGAAGGGAATTCTCTAACAGGGAACAAGCCTATTGTAACGAAACAGGTTACAGGGCAGGGCAGGGCAGGGCAGGGGTCCCCACAGGCGGTGGGTGCAGACGCCGCGGTCAGCTGAGGAGCGGGGCAGACCTGTCGTTGGTCACTGTTGGCTTTAGCTGGACGCTGGCGAAGGGGTTCCTGGAGAGAGGAGAGAAGAGCTGTTTCAGTGGTTTTCAGGAGAGGCGCTGAGTGCTGCCCCATGGCTGTGGACAGCACCCCACCCCACCCCCGGTCAGCCTCCCAGCTCAGAGCTGGGGGTGGTGGAGGCCACTGGCAAGAGCCAGGAACTGGCCCCACCTGCAAGTCCAGCTGAGCCCCAGTGCACCACCCTCTGCTCCCAAAACCTGTCCTGCCTCGAACCGCAGACCCTTCCAGGGCAGGGTGGGTTGGTGTAGGGGGCCCTCTGCTCCCTCCACATGTGCCCCAGTCCTTTCTTTGTGGCCTGAGGCAGCCCCCCACAAGCTGCATCTGAGCTCAGCGTGCAGAACCCCCTGCAAGGCCCAGTGTCCCCCCCGCCACCTGCCTGAGCAGCAGCTGAGCCCGTCTGCAAGGACACGGCCATCGACACACAGAGACAGCTCAGCAGAGCGCACAAGCCCGGCCCATGCACCCCAGGGGCCCCGAGTGGCCGGCCCCACACCCACACGACAGACAGAAGGCGCAGGCACAGTCGTGGCGAAGGGGCTGGCAGGGGTGGACGCCCACAGCCCCTGCAGAGGGGCTGACTGTCTCCTCAGAGAGGAGCCGTGTCCACCCCTGGGTGCCGAGACGGCGGCGGACGGACAGACAGATGCGCCAGACAAGGGGCTGAGACAGAACGAGAGGAGCACACGGTGGGGCCGGTGTCTGGCCTCAAGCTCACAGAGGCTGCTCCTCCTCGGGTTCCCAATGGGCTCAGAGGACCCCGCCGGGGCGGGGACGACACAGGACAGCAGGCAGTCCCGGGGTGACAGCACAGATGGCACGGAGGACACGGGGGGCTCAGCACGAACGGAGCCGTTACCTGGGGTGGCAGTGGCCTCCGGCGTGGCCGGGCGTCCGTGGGAGCTGGGCAGGCACTCCATCCAGGTGCCCAGGAAGGGAGCACAAGGAGGGGCACCCTCGTGTTCGCCTGAGGACCTGGCACTTTCTGAAACACTGAGGTACATTGGACTCAGCTGTTTAAGGGACAACTAGGGAGAAGAGGCCGACACAGCACAGCGTGGCTTCCGTGTCTCCAAGACGCTGCCCGACAGTTGGCAGCACCCACGTCGGTCTCGGTTGCACCCCTGCCTTGGCACATCTGCACCCAGCTGGTGGGGCCGCGGGCTCCCTCCCTCAGGGCCTTGCTGGTCTCCTTGGTTCTGGTATGTGCAGATACGCTTCGGGCAGGGACTGCCTGGCAGTTCTGCTGTGACCAGGGTCATGGCCCCTGGGACAGGGTGCAAGGCAGCCATGGGGGCTGCTGCCCTGATGGGACTCTGGTCCTGGAGGAGGGCTCTATGTCCTTGGCTGTCCCCAGCCAGGGTCAGGGCAGGCGGTTCCGGGGGGCCTAGAAGTGGGGCAGGTTTGTCCATCCAGAGCTGGGGACCCAGCAGAAGTGGGGACCCAGAGAAGGGAGGATGGCACATGTGCTGATCAGAGTCGGGGGCAAAAGGGGGCGCTGGCCAAGTGTGTCCCGACATACCTACAGTCTCATCAGAAAACGTCGGTGACCAGCCTTGTGTAAGTTAACGAAGTCAGAATGCACCCTCACACCCTATACAAAAACAACACTCAAAATGGTATAAAGTCTTAAATACACCATAAAACTCCTAGAAGAAAACATAGGCAAAATATTCTCTGACATAAACCATACCAATGTTTTCTTAGTCTCCCAAGGCAACAGAAGCAATAGCAAAAACAAATCAATGAGACCTAATCAAACTTACCAACTTTTGCACAAAGGAAACCGTAAAGAGACAACCTACAGACTGGGAGAAAACATCTGCAAATGATGTGACTGACAAGGGCTTAACTTCCAAAATATACGAGCAGCTCATGTACCTCAACAACAAAAAAACAACCCAATCAATAAATGGACAGACCTAAGTAGATGTTTGTCCAAAGCAAACACACAGATGGCTGAGAGACATGAGCAAAGATGCTCAACACATCACTAATTATTAGAGAAATGCAAATCAAAACTACACTGAGGTACCAACCTCACTAAGAAGTCTACAAATAAGAAATGGTAGAGTGAAATTGGTACAGACACTATGGGAAACAGTATGGAGGCTCCTCAAAAAACTAGAGTTGCCATGTGATCTAGTAATCCCACTCCTGAGCATATATCCCAAGGAAACTGGAATTCAAAAAGATACACGCACCCCTAGTTCATAGCAGTACTATTCACAATAGCCAAGACACAGAAAAACCTAAATGTCCATTGACAGATGAATGAATTAAAAATGATTATATATACAATGGAATATTACTCAGCCATAAAAAATAACGGAATAATGCTATTTTGCAGCAACATGAATAGATCTAGAAATTATATTAAGTAAATCAGAAAGACATGTCACATGATACCACTTATAAGTAGAATTTAAAAAATGATACAAATGAATTTACCTACAAAAGAGAAACAGACTCACAGAGAACAGAGGTGTGGTTGTTTGCCAAGGAGGAGGAGGGATGGGTCCAGAGTTTGGGATTAACAGCTGAAAATTATTATTTACAGAATGGATAAACAAGGTCCTACAGTATCCTATGATAAACTATCGAAAAAGAATATAAAAAAATATATATATGTATAATCACTTTGCTATATGACAGAAATTAACACAGCACTATAAATCAACTACATTTCAATTAAAAAAAGGATTGGTGGCAAACCCACATTGTCACCTGCACCAGGAAGATCTTCCCCAAGAGGCTGCCTGGCTCTGAGCCACACTGTCTTTATCTCCTTGCCCGAAACAGTGCGACCGTGGAAGCGTGTGCTGTGTACACCCTGCAGGGAAAACAGTGTGACCATGGAAGCGTGTGCTGTGTACACCCTGAAGGGAAAACAGTGTGACCATGGAAGCGTGTGCTGTGTACACCCTGAAGGGAAAACAGTGTGACCATGGAAGCGTGTGCTGTGTACACCCTGCAAGGTTAGAGGAAGCAGGTGGTGGCTGCAATCGCTCCAGGCCTCTGGAGCAACTCTCCTGCAAGCCCTGGCCGGAGACCCCAGGGTGGGACACCCCTACCTTTCAGCACCAGAGGAAAGGGCAAGGCCCCCATGGGTGCCCACTACCTTCTGGAACATTCTGTGAAAGAACAAGCTTATAAGCCATTCCAAGAACACCTTAGTGACCCAGGGTGGGTGGCTGGGGTCAATGCTGGGATGACCAAACAGGACAAGATTTGGACTGGGGCCACTGTTGATCTTTCTGTCCTGCAAATGTCTGTCACAGCCAGGGGCGGATGCTGGGGCCAGTCAACAGCAGACCACCCAGACATGGAACAAGCACCTCTTAACCCAAACGGGAGATGTCAGAGTGTGCAAGGGTCAGAGCTGTCAGGATGCCAGGGCTCTTCCCCCAAGGAGGGCCATGAAGCACTCTGGCAGAGGAGCAGGGGCTGGGTTCTGTCCCCCTCCTGAGCAGGGACATGGGGACAGCGGCAGCTTTTACATGGATCCATTTGCATTCTTGGATGGGGGCAGGCCTGAAGTCCTGGGTGTGGTGAAGGCAGGAGTGAGCCAGCCCCCTGCCCCTGGTCCCCACTGCCCAGCCCTCTGCAGACTGCCTGGCCTGACAGGGTGGGACCCTTGCAGCCGAGCAGCGTTCGGGTCCAGCCTCCCGAAGACGTTGGTCACTGAGGATTTGGGGGCATCGCCTTGGGTTATCTTCTGAATCCACTTCTTGAATGAGAAAGGGGGTGGTTCTGAGAACACCCAGGCAGCACGAAGTGCAGCTTGTACCCTGGAGCGACTCCGGAGCAGGAGGCATGGAGGAGTTACAGCGTGTATTCCAACTTGGCCCAGACGTTTTCCTCTTACCACGTGTCTTCCATAGCTTCAGAACGTCGGCCCTTCTGGACTTGATTTGGTCTCTTCCCCAGAGCTGTGAGCTTGGGCAAAGCCGAGCAAGGTCCCGCAGCCAACCAGCGGTGCCTTGTGACACCCCTGCCCTGGGAGAACCACCAGGACAGGCAGGCCCCGCGGCCACTGTGCTGTGTGCTTCCCAGTCCACCGTGCCCCCGGGGCTCCGCTCCAGGCAGAGGCCGCACCAGCCTCCCTGGGCCTTCACCCCCTCTCAGTACCTCCAGGGGAGAAGATCTGCTGGGCCCTGATAACTCAGAGGGACCACAAGGGCAGCAGAATGGGGGCTGCTCGGCTAGGGGCAGGAGATGCAGGTGTCTCAGAGCATCTCGTCACAGGAGGGACAGAGGCAGGGGGGAAGGAGGGCCCAGGACGCTCGCGCTAAGCCGGCGTCCAAGTCATTTCCCCCCCACACTGCGATCTGAGGAGCACTTGTCTCCAGTTATCCAGGAATTACACTGCAGCTCAGGAGAAGGGTAGCAACATAAATAAACACCAAACAACGGATAAACTACTTGTGGTTCAGTAGTTAGGACTCTGCACTTCCAGGGCCAGGGGCCTGGGTTTGATCTCTGGATGGGGAACCAAGATCTCACAAGCCACGCAGTGTGGCCAAAACCAAACCCAAAACCAAACCCAACAAAGGCAGCAAAGAAGAGGGAGGGTCCAGGCCCTGCTAGAGTGGCCCGGCTGCCCGTAGGGAGGTCAGCATCACGGTGACAAGCAAGGGGGTGAAGGGACCGCCGTCTTTGTAAAGGGCCATGTGCCAGCTTCACGAGGCAATCCTCCCAGGGAGCGGGGTTGGGGTGGGACGGGGGGAGCAGCGCGGCCCTGACCCAGGCACAGGCGCCCAGAGCGGCGGGCTCTCCCCACCTGGCTGCCGGTGCTTGCTTTCCAGGGGCACCAGGGAAAGGACCATCACCAGGTGGGAGTTAAGAGGCGGCCACTGGGGCGGAAGCTGGAAAGCCTGACGTAGCCCCTCGGCCACGTTAGGGCAGAGGGGAGGTGCCTGTGGGCACGATGGACAGCAGAGCCACCACCTGCCGGGCAGAGGTGTGCGCCTGCTCCCCCGCGCGTGCCTGTGGCTCTCTCCACAGCCGTGGCACTGTCCCCAGACCCGCCCTGGTCTCCCTAGCCCCCGAGGGGCTTTAATACTCACCAGCCCAGGAGCCAGCCAGGCTAGGTTCAGATCCACGCCCAGAGACTGGTCTGAAGGGCACTCAGCCCAAGAAGCCCAAAGCCAGCCTGGCAGCTGATCACCAGGCTCCACCCCGATTGTGGCCCAAGCACCCAGCAGAGGCACAGGGAACCCAGACAGAGGGCCAGGCCAGACCCGCCAGCTTCCAGAGAGAGGAAACCCGAGAGCCCAAGGACAGGTCCAAGGGAAGCGAAGGCCGGAGCCGAGAGCGGAGGTAGGCTCAGCAGACCCCAGATCCTGCTCTGGCCCGGGTCAGAGGGTCTCCGGAGCTGCTGGGAACACAGGCTGACCAACACAAGAAAACCAGGGCAACTTACTAACTCTAGTCAGGGGCCGCTCAAAATCTGGCCACTTCCACATCGGCACTGCAAGGAAACACAAGGCTTGGTTGGTGCAGGTAGAGGAGTGGGAGCGCTGAGGACCCCGAGGGGACGCAAGCTGGACGGAGGATGGGGGCTCCTGGCAGTTAGGCACTCTGCCTGGAGCCAGACCCACTGAACGCGGGGCGGAGCTGGTTGTCCAGCCCTGGGAGGGCATCCCAGGATCAAGCCCACGTGCCTCTCACTGGGGCAGGGGCCTCCCCAGCTGCGCCCAGGGAGAGCCATGTGGGCCAATGCTATCTGCACCTCATTCTGTTGGCGAGGTGGCCAGGCTTGCACACAGCCCAGAAGCATGCAGCAGGGCTGGAAGGAGGCGCCACACTCAACTGGATGCAATAAATAAAACTTTTATTCAAACAACTGCAGTACAGGGCACAATTCAGATTAAAAAAAAAAAGGGAAAGGAAACAGGAAAAATATTTTCAGCACTTTACATCTTCATACAAGTTTTGCGGTTTTGTGTCTACATTCATCCATTGAGCATGGAATCCCCTGGATTTGAGATCTTTTAGCAAAATTAGAACACCAACATAGAAGGTTCTTTTTTTTTTTTTTTTACAAAGGTCCGTGTTCTGGCTTTGTTTTCTCCTTAAATTATAAAACAGGGTCTGTCTGCGTCTTGAGCTGCTTCTCTCACACACGCTACCAGGCACGTCCTAGTCCACAGGAGGGGGCGGGAGGGTTTGGCTAAATCACATCAGAAAAAGGTCCACAGCTTCATGGGGGCTCCTGCGGTGGGAAGGGCGGAGCAGCTACGCCCTCGCTCACTTCCCAGATTCAAGGCGTGAAGGGCAACACCAGGAGCCACTGGGTCCAGCGTGTCTGCTTCTGAAGCCACCGAGACACACGAGAGCGTTTAGGGAGGACGGGGCAGGCGCGGGGGGGCGGCGGGGCGCCCGGAGCTGCCCTCACTCCGTCACGGGCTGGTCAGAGAAATGATTTCCAGAACACGTGGGGGCGGGGGTGGTCTCTGGAGGTCTTTGGAATGTCCAAGTGCGGCCGGGCCCCCTCCCCACCAGCGCCCTGTGCGGTCATGGCCATGGTGCCCGAGGCTGGCACCGCACTCTGGTCTGCACATTGTTCAGAGGCGTCCGGGACCAGAAAGCCGTCAGGGGCCCAGCGGGTGGGCGGACAGGGCTGGGGCCTCCCTCACAGGAGCGGCCAGCTTCCTCAGGAGGCCCCCCCAGCTTGGCCCCAGCCCCTCTCTGGGTGCGGCCTGGAGGGGCGCCCCCGGGGTCCAGAGCCTCTCGGAGCCCCCAGCACCCCCCGCTCCCGACACAGGTGCCAGTGTGCGCTGGGGGGTCGGATGCGAGATAACAGTACGTACACCGGAGTCCATGCATATCTGTTTTTGTTGTTCAGGAAAAAAAAAAGTCCTTTTCCTGTTTTTCAGCTTTTTGTTGTTTTTTTTTTGAATTTTTTTTTCTTCAAACTTTAGACCTGGCTCATGGTGAGCCTTCAAAGAGGGACAGCGTGTTGTGAGTACGGCGGTGGAAGGGGGGCTGCGGCGAGGATGCCCTGCCCGCGCCGCCTGGCAGCAGGCCCTGCCTGGCGGGACACACGGGGGGTCGGGTGTGTAAACACGGGGAGCGGGTATGGGGCAGCACCATGGACCCTGGGGGATCACAGAGTCTGGGGTCACCAACCGAAAGGCGGGGAGGGGGCAAGTGGGAAAGAAAAACGACCGAGGAAGAAACCAACGAGAGCAGAGGAAGAAACCGATGGAGACAGACAGACGGGGGTGGGGGCGGCGGGGCTCTTCGAGCGGCTGCCCGGTCAGCGTCCTCACACTGTGGACACCAGCGTGCCGCTGCCGCTGCGAACAAAGCAGAGGACAGCTGCCGGGCCACACACGTCCCCGCGGCCGGCCAGCTGGCCCTCAGGGAGCAGGGGCAGGAACCCCCAGAGCCCGGGCCAGGGTGAAGCCCTGGTCAGGGGCACAGGGGGCAGACGAGCCCCCTGCCTGGCCGCCAGGAAAGAGCTGGGCCCCAGAGCAACCAGGCCAAGGGGTCGCGCGGTGGCGGTGGGCAGCCCGGAGGCCTCCCCAGGAGAGAATGAGAGGCCCGAGAGCGGCTGCAGTGGGTCCCTGGCTCCAGCCTGGGCACAGGGCCAGGCCTGGCTCCCACCCACCCACAAGGGAAGCATGAAGACAGCTCCGGGAGGGGCTGCTTCCCACAACGGGTGATACCCGGGGACCCCCAGCTGCTGCCAGGGGTCAGGGCATCCTGCACTGAGGGCCATGCCCTACAGAGCGGACTGGGGAGGGCGCAGCGGGGTGAGGGTCAGAGACCAGGCGCCCCAGGCCCCGCTCACTGTCTCGGAGTGGAGACACTGTGGTCTCCAGCCCGGCCCCAACCAAGCAGGCCTGGGAGAGGGACCACCCGACTCCAGCTTCCAGTGGGACGGCTCCCCACTGCCCACAGCTCCCGAAGACGAGTCTGAAAATCTCTTACCTGCTCACGGCCCGCGCCCCATAATCATCCAGACCCTGGTGAGGAAGACAGAAGCAGGTCAGGCTGGGGAGCCAGGGGCTGAGGCGGGGTCTGCAGGACGGGGGCCCCTCCTGATCCCAGGGTGTGTGATGCTGCCTGTGGCTGAGAACATGAAGGGCCCCTCCCACCCCCAGCAGGGCCCACCCTGATTCACAGGGATGCCGCCTCATCTGGCCAGTGGCCGACGGAGAGCTCACACAAGACAGGTCACCCGATGACCCCCTTTCGCACATGTTCCCTGTGGCCCTTCAGCCGTGCAGGTCATGTGATTAAAAACCCGGCATGTAAGGGCTTCCCGGGGAACCCAGAGCCTGAAACCGTGGAGGGTGGATAGTGGAGGGTGGGGTCTGGGTGGGGAAGCTGGGCTGGCAGAGGCTGATGCAGGGAAGGCAGCCTGCCTCACGCAAGCCTGTGCTGGACCCTGAGCCAAGCATCCCCTTGAGCCCCAACATGCCCACTGTATAGCTGCCTGGCCCCAAATAAGCTGCTGCCCCAAAGCCACTGAGGGGTACTGGGAACACCCTCCTCAGCTCTCTCAGCCTCAAAACCAAGTCCAAAGACTGGGCTGCAAGAGCAGCAAGCAGTGGTCAGACCCCTCCAGGCCTGGCAAGCTGTGCCATGGGGCCTGGGTAGGGCTGGAGAGGGACTGGGGTGTCTTGCAGGCCGGCCCCATGACCCCTGAGGTGCCATACCTCCCCAGGGCTGGATCAGCCTTGCCCTCCCTGCCATTTGCCCTGACCCAGCCTCACCATCTCCAAAATGTTCCATCCAAAGGCCCAGCCACACCACCCGGCCTTGCCCCAACCACCACCTAAGTCATCTTAAATCACGTGTTCCCTGTGCCTAATCATCAATTCTCTGAAGACACCCTGGACACCTCATACAGCACGCACCAGCTAAGCCCTGCTGATGGCAGGGAGGGGTGGGTGAGGCCACTCAGGACACAGACACAGACATCTGGACAGGGCGAGTCGGCCACCATGCACCCGGAGCCCTTCCCTGCCCTGCCCGCTTCTGATGTCACACTGTCAACACAGGAGCCCCCCCACCCCCCGCTGTTGGGTCAACTCTCTGGCTGCCCAAATTCTAGAGAAACAGGAGTGCTCTTTGATTCCTTTCCCCTCATCTGGGTCCCCCGGCCCCAAGATGGAGTGAGGCCCTCACCTGGAGGCCAGCATGGAACAAAGTTGCTGGCCCCTGCCCATCATGCCACCACAGCAAACGTCCTGGAAGTCTGGGCCCTCTCCCACCCACAAGCTTCCCAGGCAGAGCTGTGGGCACCGTCTACACTCACATCCCAGTCCCACCTTGACCTGAAGACCACCCTGCACGGGAGGACCCGCCGGGTACCCAAGCCTTGATCTTCTCCCTCTGGCTCCCTGGCTCCAGGTAGGCTGACCACACATGCCTGGCCCTGCCTCCTAAGAGCCCAAACACACGCTAACTAGAAGGTTCTGGTCACGTCTCAGGCAGAGACAAGGCAGCCACCCATCTGCACTCAGACCCACGACTGCAGGAGCCTCCTGGGTCTCAGGGAAGGGGCTCCTCCTCCCAAGAGGTGGCGTCCAGAGTGATCCCCAGGCTGAGGGGAGGGCGGGCAGAGGGGCCTCTGTGCTTCTCTGGAGCCCTGAGACTAGAGAGGATGCTGGGCCGTGACCCCTGAGCAGGCCACCACAGCAGTGTGACGGCCAAGTCCAAACCCCCCAGAGCACCAGGCCTTCTGGTGGAGGCACCCTGAACCCACCCACCTTCAGCCCCCGCTGTGGCCCTGCACTCACCTGGGAGAAGGCGGGCACGGCCACGCTGTAGGGCCTCTGCTTGAAGGTGCCGGCCGTCTGGGTGGGGAAGGCCCGGGAGGACGTCCCGTAGTCGGGGGGCGGGAGGGCCAGGTCCTCCTTGTCCAGGAGGTTACCCGTGCTGCTGCTCTTGCCCTGCTGCAGGCTGCGGGGGTGGGCAGGGCGGTCAGCCAGGCCCACCTGGGCCCCCTGCGTCCCTTGGCCCCACAAGGAGGGTGGAACGGAAGACGGCAGTGATGCTGCCTGGGTGGGCCTGGGCCTCCCCTGGCCCCCACCCCACCCCCTCTTAAGAGCAGAGTGTGAGGCCTGCCAGGGGGGTGGTAGGGGAGCCAAGTTCACCCTTGCTGACATCTCAGGTGAGCACCCCCCACCCCACACAGCTCAGACACCTCCACCCCTCACAGCACCTCCACACCCCTGGACCCAAGGGTCTTAAACATGCAGCCCCTGCCCCGAGCTACAAGCCATCTGCCCTGTCAGCATGCTCACCTCATGTGCAACCTGTCCCCTCCATCGCTGTCCAGGACTCGGGTGTAGGAGAAGGGAAACCAGCCCCGCCTGGAAGAGGAGACCCCGTCAGAGCACGTCCTCTGGCCCCAGGTCAGAGTGTGTGCACACACTCCAGGAAGACCAGGAGACCCACTTGGGCATCCATCCAGCTCTGAGCCACCCTGCCCTGGAGGGGAGTGAGGCTGTGAGTGAGCAAAGGTGCCAGGACTGAGCAGGGCTCTAACTTCTTCAACAAGCATGATGGGATTCCTGGCTCAGTTCCACAAGGCTGCAAAGCCATGGCACCAACAGGAGACGCTGCCTGGAGCCACCACGGGGCCACGGGGAGGGTGCCATGCGCACACGTGGGGTGCCAGGCTGAGTCAAGGGACGTGGAAGCAAGGGCTGGTGGGGGCCTGCGGCCACATCTGTCCCTCCTAACGGACCTGTGGGACCTGGATAATCGGTCTGAAGGAGGACCCAGAGCCAGGACGCAGAGACCCGGGTCAGGAGGCTGACGCCCCCCCCGCCAGACTCACATCTTGGTCTTCTCGCTCTCTCCATAGTGCCAGCCATCTCGGGCCTCGGGCACCAGCAGGGTGATGAGGTCGCCCTCCTTGAAGCTTAGCAGAGTGCTGTTGTCCCCGGCCGCGTGGGAGAAAATGGCCTTCACCCGCATGCGGCCGTTGCGCTCCAGGCCGGCGGCCATGGAACTCGAGCGCGGCAGGGTCTTGTTCTCGGCTGCCGGGAACAACAGGGCAGGTGTGAGGGGGATCTCCGTCCTGAGCAGGGAAGGGCGCGGTCATCCTCCCATCAGCTCGGCTGTCTGACTGTGAGATACTCGGAGCCCCCAGGTGGGCCTGGAGGTAGACGGTCCACCCTGATGGATGACTGCCAGGCCTCCAGGGCTGTCTGGCTCAGACTCCGGAAGGAGCTGGGAGCTGGGGTGCGTGTGGATGCGGCCTCTGACCTGCCGCTCCTTAGCTGGGGCAGTTCTCTGGGCCTGAGGCCTCAGCTTTCCCATCTGCTAACGGGGAGACCTCACAGGCCAAGGCCCACTGGTGGGGCTGCAGGAGGGGGAGTGCCGGCCATGGCAGACGGGCTGGAGGTGGGGCCAGGAATGGTCCCACGGTCAGCAAGGCGCTCTCAGTGTCCCTCACGGGCTCTTGTCACCGGCTGAGCTGCTGGTGTCCCTGCACCGCCCTGCCCTGCCACGCTCACTGTGCAGAGAAGCCCAGTCAAGCTCAAGGATCCAGGACGGAAATCTCAAAGCGGTCCCCAGGGTGCTGCACACACGCGTGCCCGTGAGCCTCCGGGCTCCCCCCAGCCTCCCCTCGGGGATGTCGTGACTGCTACGGGTTGGGTGGACCCAGGGCCCCAGTGGAGCGCTTACTGGTGGCGTAGCTGTTCTTGGGCGCCACGCTCTTGCGCACAGGAAGCGTGTTGGAGTAGGAGTCGCTCAACTTGCTCTGAGACTGCGGGGGAGATGTGGACTTGGGCTGGGCGGCCTTGCGGTCAGCCCACGGGTTGTAGTCCTCGCTGTCTGGGCCCGAGACGCCGTTCATGACGGGTGCGTTCTCCTGGGCAGACAGCCGCTGTCGAGAAGGGGTGGCGTGGGTGTGGTGTGGCAGGAGGGCCCGGGCCCGGCAAGGCCCCCTGTTAGGGAGCCCCAGGGCGCCAACCACCGGCAGCAAGGGGAACCACCCTCCCCACACCCACAGAACTTTCTGCAGCAAGGACTTACCCCCACAAACGGGGCCAGCTCGGGGGGCACCGGCAGGGGCTTGGCCCCCGGAATGGGGTCTGAGATGACCAGGTTGGACTTGGAGGCTGACAGGCCACTGGGGAGGATGGAGCCGTTACTGTTGCCCATCTGCTGCATCAGCTGCACGGCGCGGTCAGGGATCTTGTTGGGGTCGGCGCAGGCCTGCTGCCATAACGGCAGCTTCTGTGCCAGCAGCTCCTTGCCCTGGAGTGGAAGCAGCCGAACAGGGCGGGCATGAGGGCCAGCCTCAGGCTCCCGCAGCCAGGGGGCCTCCCCGCAGGGCCGAGAGAGGCCAGGGCCTCTGGCCCACCTCACAGACACCGCCCCTCGGCTCCCAGCTGGCACCAGGTGGCTCCTGAAGAGACACACCCGACCCCAGGTGGGCACACTTGGCTGGGGCTGCTCTTTGCCAGGTGGGGTGCCTCCACCAGGTGAGACACCTCTAAGACCTGGGAAAGGGGCCGGATGTGGTACAGCAAGCCCCCCAGCTGAGAGACCCCTCAGAATGAGGTCAAACCAAGGCCTGACCCAAGAGGGACCTCCCCAGGGGCCTGAGGGAATTGAAAGAACAGGGGCTCACGTGTTCAGCCACAGAACAGGAATAGGCTCTTTGTGGGCCAACCATGAGGTACTAGGAAGAGTGCTGTTCAGGCAGACTTGAGGGCCAGGAAACCTCACAGGGACCGAGAGGGGACTGTGGGGAAGGAACAGAGCTGCCCAGGGCCCAACTGTGGTCCGGCCCCCAACCCAGGGCCCTCGAGCCCAGCTGTCCCTCCAGTGTTCCAGGGTCTGCCCAGGACACAGGGGACCAGAGGGCCAAGGGCCTGACAAAGCATGAGGAAGCCACAGGCCTGAGCAGGGTCCCAGGATGCAGGTGTGGCCAAAAGCAAGACACTAGCCTGAGATCCCCTGCAGCCCATTCAGGGGTCCCGAATCCACGGCATGGACACATGTAGGGCCCTGGAAACGGCTGTGCCTCCCCCATCCTGGCCCTCGGCCAAAGTGGGCTACCCTACCTGCAACACGTGAAACAACTGTGTTTCCATGCAGATCCCAGACCCACCCTGGGTGGAGCTTAGGGCAGTCAAGGTCTCCAGGACCTCGGACGGGTCTGTCCAGCCCTCACTATCTCTCCTCACTTATCTTCCCACTTCTTTTGGCCTCTGTCTAGGGCAGGGAGGTGGTGCCCACATAAGAAAACTGGAGGATGCTGGACAAACAGCCCTTCGGCAGGCCAGGGTCTCCCCACCACCTTCTGGTTTAGACCAGGGGCCAGCAGACACTGCATGAGGGCTGGCTGCTCATCTGCATGGAATGTTTAACTGGAAAACAGCCAGGTCAGTTGGTTTACATGTCAGCGGCCACGTTCCCAGTGCAATGGCCAAAACTGAAGACAGTTACAATCCAGCCCATGACTGAAAGGAATAGTTGATGGGTCTGGGCTGGTGCTGAGAAACTGGGTCAGCAGGGAACTGCACCAACAGGGACAACTCAGGGCTCCCACTCAGATGATGGCCCTGTCATTGTCAGGCCTGAACCCAGGCACCAGGGAAATGCTGGCCGCCTGCTGGTAGGAATAGCAGGTGGGGTCCTGCCTTCACGCCCTGGTGCCCCAGACCCAGGGCCTGTGCCTTTCTCAAACCTCCTGGGGGGCTGGGGTCCAGTTTCTTGGGAAGTCATCTCGCATACACACGATCTGCACCCCCGCAGGAGACAGAAATGGTGGCATCCTGGAAAAGGATGGCTTTCCTGCCTGCCTTCCAGCACAGATGGGTCCGCGCTCTCCCTGAGCAGCCACAGGGCCCAGCGGCCGCCAGAGGGCGCACACGCCTGCCGCACGGCTGCTGGAGCCGCGTGGGCGCTGCAGCGGCCCTGCCGGAGCACTGCGGCTCTAGCAAGCGCCTCCCCGCTGCCAGCCAGCCCTCCAGGCACAGGACCTGAACACGAAGTCTCATGTGGCAGGGTGGCCCCACCCTGACCCTGCAGAGGACACAAGGCCCGTCACGGTCCTTGTGCTGCACCTGTGGCAGCAGCAGGCCCAGGCAGGAAGAAGCCTCTCCGTGGAGGCTGAGGGCATCTGTCCCCTGGGCAGCCCCAGCCTGGGGACCAGAAGCTAAGTCAGATCAAACACATGTGAAGTGCTGCCCCCAGAACCCCTTTATGGAAAAAGGACACAAATGAGGGCCTCCCTGGTTGACTTGGGTTGCCAAACCACACCCAAACTCTCAGAACATTCTGGAATGTTCTAGCTGACAGCTCTGACCCCACTCCAGTTCCTACCTGTGGACTACAGGGAACACAAACCCCACTGAAACTCTGTTTCTGCAGGGGAGATGTGTCCTCTGGGTCTCGCTGGCCTCAGGGGGCTACGCCAGCCTCTAGAGGGGTTGGCACTGCAGTGCCTCCCAAAAGAGCTCGCTCCCTGGAGGAGTGACATGAACAGTGAAAGTTGAAGTGTTAGTTGTTCAGTCATGTCTCACTCTTTGCGACCCCGTGGACTGTAACTCGCCAGGCTCCTCTGTCCATGAAATTCTCTAGGCAAGAATACTGGAGTGGGTTGTCATTCCCTTCTCCAAGGGATTATCCTGACCCAGGGGTTGAACCCTGGTCTCCTGCATTGCAGGCAGATTCTTAACTATCAGAGTCACCAAGAAAGCTTGAGTTACTGGTGTAATTGCTCTCAAAAAAAGCACCTGGCAATTTCTACTGGGAGTTGTGAAACATCTGCAACCTTGACCTGGTAACTGTCCTTCCAGAACTCTCCCCCGAGAAGATCGAAAATGCACGGGACACTCAGCACAGTGTTCCCTCATCACAGCTCAAGGTGGGGCACGCCCCCGTGTTCCTCAGGGAGGCAGTGTGTGCCAATGAGGGCCCAGCCCCGCGCAGAGCAGGCACCCACCTTGGAGTGGTAGGCGGCGGAGTTCTTGGCCACGGCGCACTGCTTCTCCACCAGGAAGCAGAACCTCCTCCTCTCCTCTGTGAGGGCGGTCTTGTAACCGTCGGACACGTAGCTCTCCAGCTCACCCTGCTTGTTGCCGATGGCGTCGATGTACTGGGGGTGGGTGGGAGAGGCACATGAGCTCGAAATGGGACAACACCCCATCACTTCCCATTCTGAGCAGCCCCGCAGGCTGTGGAAGGGGAGCACACCTCCCCACCAGCCCACTGGGGTGGGTGCTTGGCTGTGTGACTCACTTTGGCCATGAAGCTACCCTGCTGAGCCACTGCCCCCTGGTGCCGTGGCAGCTGCACGTGTGGGGACCACGTGGCAGACTGCCTGGTGAGGCTGGAGTGGCACCTCCCTCAGACCCCGACACCAACCATAAAAGCCATGCTGACAGTCGGAAGACCAGGACAGCTCAGCTGGCACCGTGTGCTCGAGAATGACTAGTTCACGCGCGGATCCCTCGGGGGTGGGCAGAGCACACAGTTCGATGCTAGGGCACGCCAGAATATGCTCTGGTTCTGCAGGATGGAAAGTTCCAGTAACAGTCCCAGCAAGACTGGGGGCAGCTGTCCCAGGGAGGCCTGCGGGCCCTCCGCCTCTGTGTGTGGCCCTGCCTCTGGGACGCAGGAGCCCCTTCCAATCCCCTCCCTGTCTCCCCTCTCTCCTCCACGCCCACCCCGCGCTCCACAAGGGGCACAGACTCCTCTGTCCTGAACTGGGATCCCTTTCCATGGCCCCGGCTGGCCAGGGGACCAGCCTTCACAGAATCAAGCCCCATCCTCCGGCAGGGGCAGACCCGGGCCACGAGGGGGCGGCCTCCCCCGCCTGACTCACCACCTCCCCCCACAGCTCTGACTCAGCGTGGGTGGGCGGTGCAGAGCTGGGTGGGCGCAATGCAGGCTGTTCCTGGCCCCTCCCTGCCCCCCACCTCGTAGCGGCGCTCAGCTGGAGGGCAAACGTCTGCTGGGCGTGGGTCGTCCCCAGCGCTGTCCCCAGCGCAAGGCTCTGCCAGCGTGAGCCTGCCTGCCCAGCACTCTCACCATACAGGGACTCTGCTCCCCTGTGCCTGTAGACCACCCTGCCTTCAACACTGAACCCCACTCTCCTCGCCCTGAGAGAGCAGCTTAAATGGGCCTCCATGTGCCCAGCCCACTCCCCCACCCTGGAGGAGTCCGCCTGGTCCTCCAGAGCAGCCATAGGGCTGGCCGGGCCTCGAGGTGTGCCTGGGGACAAAGTCCGAGCAGGAGTGGACAGGCCCTCAGGGCAGCCCTGCTGGCTGCTTCCACCCCCCGCCCCCGAGCCCCACGTTATGAAACACATGCGTACCCAGACCTCCAGCCTCTGCTCCTCCAGCCTGCAGAGTGGCTCCTCCAGGAAGCAGGGGAGTCTGCAGATGTGGGGTGCCACGGTGGGCAAGGCCGTGCTGTGTGGAAGGACCCCTCAGGTGCCGCCCACCAAGGGGCTGGCTCACACCTCAAAGCCCCCATGTGGACAAGAGGCCTGAGGGTGGGAACACCCGCTGGACACAAGGGCCTGGAAGGGGCAGGGCTCACTCAGAGATGGGGACGCTGATGCAGGCCCCTGCTGCCTGCGCCCCATCACCTAAGCAGCACCCGGCACTAGACTGAAACCCCCAGAGGGCCCCTGCCCACTCTGCTCCGTGGCTGTCCTACCTGCTCCGGGGGACAGGGGAACATCGGTGTGGCCTTGCAGGCTTCAACCAGCCCTGAACAAAGATGCCTCCCTCAGCCTGTTCTCGAGTACACGGGCACACCTGGGCTTGGCTGTGATCCCGAGAGCCCCCTAAGGGGCTTCTAGAATCTCTGCAAAGCTCTAGAAGGAGAAGTTTGGGGTTTAACCCCAGTAAGAGCCCCAGCCAGCTGGTCCCTGGAGTCACCACCTCCCGCCCTCCTGGGGGGCCGCTCCAGCGCCAGGCAGGCCTGGGAGGCAGGGTGGGTGTGGGGTGACTGGGTAAGAGAGGCTGAGACCCTAAGAGGTCAGCACAGAGCCTCGAGAAGGAAGGCCCAAAGGAGGCACCCACGGTCACCTAAAGAGAGGCCCTGGGGGCAGGGGAAGGCACCTCCGTGAGCGGTTACCCCAGGACAGCGGTGTAAACCAGGACGCGGGCCCCCCGGGTCCACCCACCCCGAGCCCGCTGCCGAGGACGGCTCCTCCTCGCGCCGCCCGGTGGCCCCGTCTGTCCTGCAGCCGGTTTCTGGGTTTTCAGGTTGCAGTAACGTCTTTCACCTCAATGTTCCCACTCCCTGGAGGGGAGAGAAACCGGCTCTGGGCGAGCTGGCGCGGGGCGCTGGCCTCATTAGCTGCCTGGCAGCCTCCCGTGCCGGGGGAGGAAGCGGCGGTTTATTTTTAAGATTTCCATTTACTCTAACGAGCCCCCAGAACAGCCAGAAGCAGCTCAGGTCTCAGGCAGGGACCCGGGGGCTCCTGGAGTCATGCAGTGTCTTTCCAGGACCACACCTGCCCAGGACGGGGCAGGAGAGACGTTGCCTTGGCTGGGGTGCCTGGCCCAGGAGAGCTGCCCTTTCCTCCTTACCCCGCATCCGGCCAGGACCCAGGCTGCCACTTCTGTCGAGGAATAACTGCTGGCCCTCCTGACCTCCTTCCCCAGCGCTGCCTCCTTGCAGAGAGGCCACCACTTTGAAGGGCAGACCCTAGAAATCCAGGCCAAGTGAGGAGCTTTGCTTCTGAAGGGGTGGGAGAGGAGGACGCCCCAGGCCACACTGGCCGCTGTGGGCAGGGGACATTCCCAAATATGCAGGAGTGCCTGCACTCTCTGGGACCGAACGAGCCTCACCTGACAGCCCTGAGGAGTTCCAAACAGGCCAAAGAAAATGGTCTGAGCCTGTCCCCACCGCAGGCGGGCACCGTGGCCAGGCTCCCAGTGTCCTGCCTCCCCACCCCCTACCCCTGCTCCTGGCTTAGCGGGTGCTATGGTGACGGCACTATAGAAACACCCAGCTGAAAGCATTTAAGACCCACGGAACGCTCCCACTTAGTCACCCTGGGCTGAACAGCCCTGTAATCCGAGAAGACAAAAGTGATCAGGACATACATCTCCTCTGCGGAGCAGGCCGGTGACTCAGAGCGGGGGAGGGGCGCTCTAGAAAACACCCGGGGCTCTGGTCTCCCTCACCCGATAGGCCACCCAGCTTTCCCACGTTTCTCCAAATTTCTCAGAACCGGCATGCGATCCCTAACCGGTGCAGCTGGGGAGTGACAGTGGGATCCGTGGCCCTCAGCTGTCACTGTCCGTAACCATCACTCCAAGGAGACAAGGCGGGACCCCAGGCAGCTGTGGTGGACAGGAAGGAACAGCCAGAATGGGATGCCTCCAGCTGCATCCAGTCACTGGGTACGTTCTGGGGGCAGCCAGTGGCTTCCCTGGAGCCCGCTGACCAGGCCTGTGTCCCTCTCTGGTCTGATGCACCCTGCACCCAGGCCAAGAACAGGACAGCCAGCCTTGGGTTCAGCGGATTAAGAATCTCTAAGCACAAAAACTCCGAGCAGGGCTGGGGACCAAGGCTGAGCCGAGGGCAAGTGCGCCCTCCTTCCTGTAGGCCAGCAGGCGGAAAAACCAGCAGTCAGCAGTACAGGGCATATGCTGTGGGCACATTCTCAGGCAGAGAGCACAGTGCCCCTCGCAGGAGACACGGATCTGGGGGCCCGGGCTGCCCATTTTCCCGAGAAAGGGCCCACAACCATCACTAGATTGGCAAAGGGTTCCGTGACCAAACAGATCCCACTGCCCATGCCCTGTCCGGTGCACTTACCCACTGGAGTCCAGCAAGAATATGCTGGGAGGGGCGTGCCCACAGCATCCCCATGCCCAGACCCCAGGAGAGAATGTGGGGCCACTTCTGTCCACACCAGTGGGCTGGACACGCTGACAAGGGCCTTGGGGCCCAAGGGGACGGGTCTTAGTAATTTGCAAGCACCCTGAGCCAAGGCCTTCGGTGGCTGCTGGGGAGCCTGGGGGCTTCGGGGATCCACGCCACCTGGGTCTGGGGTCTGCTGGGCTGCCCTGGGACCTGGAGGAGAGCGGAGCCTGGCTCCTGTGCCCACCTGCTGGGTGGCCAAGTCTCTGGTGCCTTCGGGTCTCAGGTTCCTCAGGGGCTGAGCCAGAAGGTCACCACCCGAAACGGCAGCCCCTCCCCACGTGACCCCAGAGGTTTTGCAGGTACAGAATTCACACCCAATTTCAAAGACTCAGCAGGAAAGAGACAAACACAACACACCTAGTATCTGCTGTAATGATTACGTGTCTAAATAACACTCTAGACGTGTTCTGCCCAGTAAAACGCTTTTCCCGTACCACATTTATTAAGTGTCCGCCTCTCAGTGCAGAAAGACAGGTGCCATGTGCCTGGCACTGCCCGCCAAAGTCCTCCCAGCTCTGAAAGCAGAAGATGCTCCAGATTTCTCATGGTGTTATCCAGCTAGGCAGCCCACTGGGGGGCTTGATCTGGGGGACTGGGAGTAGGTACGGGGCGGCGGGGGGGGCAAAGTCCCCCAGAGGACTGAGCAGCTGATGCCATCTCTGGACACAGAAGCCCTAAGAGGATACTTGGCTTTTCAGTTGCTTTTACCCAGAGGACCTCTGCTTATACTCCAAGGAAAGAAGACGTCCCACTGCTGGGATGTCTTGTCCATAGATGCCTTTTGCACTGAAGAGCTCTTTAAAATGAGAACAGCAGACACTTAAACCACTGCCATCAAACCTCACGTGTTATCGGGACCAGCCTCTGCCATTATCTTTTTTGAAGATCTAAATTATGGTTATTTTGTTTTTGCTTTGTTAATTACACATCCCTTTAAATAGAACGAATCTCTCCCCTTTCTCAGACCGCAATCTGGATGTGCCTCCTGGAACAAGGGAGCCTGGGGAGGGGGAGCCGACTGCCAGAACCGCCTGCTTCAGTCAACACAGGCCCCAGCGACAACCCACACCCCGCAGCCAGAACACCCGAGGCCCCACTCTCGGCATCTCAGAGAGGGAGGGCGGAGGACAGCTCAGGACGCAAGTGGGGCTCCCAGCACCTCTGGGTCCCCCGGCAACCCCAACCTCAGGTGGGTGGGTGGGCTGGGGTGGCTGGGCCATCTGCCCTCCTGACAGCAGGAGCCTGCCAGGGTCAGCAGCTCCAAGGACCAGGCTGCCAAGGACCTGGTGCTCGGCTGGCAGGAATGGTTGAAGGCCCTGGCCCGCTGCAGTCAGGAAGCCGGTCTGGCCCATACTGGGGGTGACCCTGCCCCACATCTATGCTCACCCATCTGCCTCCAGCCTTCTCTTCCTGGGCTCCACCGCTCCTTGCGGTCTTAGCGGCCCCTCCCTCAGAGCCTGCACATGGGCAGGAAGGACATGCTGTGTCCCCATGACCCCTGCAGGTCACAGGCCACACACCAATGTGAATCCCAAAGGCAGGCTGACTGCTGGGTTTTCTAACAGTCGTGATGCCCCTCGGAGGACCAGGACTCCTACCTAATTGGAGCTGGGCTGGGGGTGGGCCGAGGGAAACAGAAATGGAAGAAATCCTTGGCCAGTCCTGCAGGATCTGTAAGGGGGACGCGCACCCAGAGCCTGGCCAGCTCACCTTCCCAAAGTGCTCCACCTGGGATGGCTCATGGCACAGCCACACCCCAGCCCAGACCCTTCTGTCAGAAGCCCCAGAGACCGCCGACCAGCCGGGGGGCCAGCTGCCCATCAGAATCACCTTGAAGCTTGGAGAACCTGACGGTCAGGCTACAACACAGCTATGCACCCATGCCTGGGGAGAAGAACCCCAGGCCAGAGACAGGATGCCAGACGAGACTTGTGACCACACTGTCAGACACACGGTGCATCCTCCACCGACCGCCCCCTGTGGTGCTCCGTCAGCGCCTGTGAGCACCACGGTGACCAGAGGTGTGGAGCGTGACCGTGCCACATGGTCAGCACGTGGTGTGCTCACTACTTCTAGAAAGAAGCCTGCGTCCTAGTTTGCGCCCCAAATGCCTCTAAGTGCCTATTTCCTGACCTAAAATCAGTTCTCTTCATGGAAATCCCAAAACACAGTCTCAATTACCAGCAGTTCCTGAAGCTGGCCGGCTCTGACCCAGCCCCCCTCATGGGGAACCCGTCACAGACTGACTGGCGGTCAGTCTCCCCCTGCATCACCCTGGAGCGTGACCCGCGGGCACAGCCCCACCTCAGCGCCCAGTGCAGACGGGCCACGCGGCAGTAGAGGCACCGTGGGGAGGCGTGTGGCTGCTCTGTGGGTCGACCTGTGCCTGGCAGGTGCCAGAAGCCTCTCTACCCTCCCTGCTGAGTGTCCTGTCCACACTGAGCCCTAGTCAGAAGCGGAACACATGGGCCAGGGGCTCCAGAAGGCTCACAGGTGACCCTGGGGATTGACACGGGCAAGTCCACTGGTCTTGGGAGCATGAGCCACCCGCCTGTGCGAGCCCTGGGCCGCACCAGAGCCACAGGGGCTCCATTAGCCTGGGGGTCCCATCTCCTCTGCCAAGGGCTGTCACAGCTCAGGTCAGCCCAGGCTGTGGCTCGGGGATGCCCAGGTGGGGCCCCTGTGCCAGCATGGGGCCTGGGACCACCCCCATCTGCACACACTGCCCACAGGGCCACACACGGCCCAGACCCCGGTGAAGGTCCACAGGATCTTGCACCCTGGGACTCTGGGGACACAGAGGCTCCGAGGGAGCAGGGGGTTGCCGGTGCCTGGGGTCCTTCCCCACCTCCCCAGGGGTCCTCAGTCCGGAATCTACCCCCACTCGGTGCACAAAGATACCTGCTTGCAGCAAGCAGGTCTAGCGGCTAGGTCTACTGCAGTCCAGGTGAGGCCGGGCTCTCCAGGGCAGGGCCATGAACTACTGTCTGGATGGACGGAACTGCCCCCATGGCTGATCTGCTACTGGGTGGCCTGAAAGGGAGCCTTGGAGGTGGAGGGGCATTCTAAGAAACAAGACGGGAAGAGCAGAGTCCTGCTCTCCCCCAGTAAAAGAATCTTTAACAAGCCATTTCCTGTGACTCGCAGGACCTTGGTTAAGGTGAAGGGCCGGGCAAACTCAGCACACCTGCCCTGCCAGCCAGGCACTTCCTCTGGGGCAAACAGTGGGGAGAGGAGGGCTGTCACACCAGAAGGTTCCAGGGCCCTCCCAGGCCCCAGCAGCCACACCTCAAAGCAGACATCAGACCCTGGCTCCTGGGTCAGGTCTGCAAAGATTTCAAGAATCAGAAAGAAGGGCCTCAGGTGCTGAGGGGCCCTCAGATGCCTGGGTGGGCTGGGCATCCCCACAAGGCCACCAGACAGATCAGAACCATCCATAGGACAGGCAGCCACATGCCCTCCACCGGCTCAGAGCACACCAAGCGCCCGCCCCCTGCCGCACGACACGGGGTGAGGGACTCTGAGGACCCCCAGCCTGGCCTCTCAGGTTCAGTATCACCGGGGAACAAGAAACACTTGTTGGACTGCCGCTCTGCTTCCCGCCCTTAGAGGACAACTGGAACGTCATGTACTGCCTGTCACCACGCGAGCAGCCTGTGCTGGACGCCGGGAGGGACAGGGCGGAACACAGCCCTACCCATCCCCTGACTAGAATAACTGAGGTTATTAACACTGCAATAGCACCCTCAGGAGGCTAAGGGGCAGGTAGAAAAGAGGGGTGGAGGTGGGCTTGGGAGAGTGAAAGACACTACTGAGAGGCAGGAGCTGGGTTATTACTGCAACTCGGTGAGAAACTCCTGAGGAAGGGGCTGCAGAAGCCCGCTCCCCTGCAGGAGTGGCTGCTTCCCACATGGCGGATTGCGGTACTTAGCTGGCGCCCCCTGCCCATCTTCCCCACTGGGAGCCCCAGGCGCAGAGGGCGCAGACGCCGGACCACTCCAGGGGAGCAGGGCGCCTGCTTGTCCCCGCCTTACTCAAGTGGCCAGGACCAGCCTCGTGGCCCTGGAGGGCTCCAGAGGCGCTTGAGGGCAGTGGTGTCGGCACCAGGGGGCATGCCATGCAGGGAGGCCCCGATGGTGTATGTGGTGCCCCCAGACTTGCTGCCCTGATGGCCGGCAGGAAGAGCAGGGCTTTAGGAGCAGAGGGGGGCACCCCAGAGGTCACCCCATGCCTGTGCCCAGGGGAAGCTTCCACTGCTGACCAGGTCAGGGGGGTGGCTGTCCTGTTTCTCCTCCTCAGACGCATGACCTTGGAGAGCAGCGTCTGGGCCCGATCTATGTCAATTGGCGGCGGGGTTCTGGTGAGTCAGGTGTATTGGGGCCATGCCTGTCACAGGCCGCGTTGTCCTGATTCCTTGCCCCCACCCCAGCACACAATGCCTGCAACCAGGGCTGCCCCTCCCGTGTCCTGCAACACCATCTGCCTCATAACGCAAGGCCCCCGAGATGCTGAACCGGCCAGCGTCTTCCTGCTGGAGGCTCTGGGCCCACGCTAGGCATGGGCATTCGTGACTCAATCGGAATAGCAGTCAGGTCTCTCTCTGAGGCGGGAAGGTTCCCTGTGGGTTCGGCTCCTTTGGCAGAGAGCCATGGCACCCATCGAGGCTGCAGGACAGGGCTACCGTCCTGCCAGCTCTGGGATGTAGGGCACCCCCACCGGAAATCCCCCAGGAGAGTGGAGCCTTGGTCTGATCCATCAGGAGGGCCTGCCCTTCATTGCTCTCTGAAAGGACCAAGAGTCCTGACACCGTTAACAGGGGCCTGAGCCCTCCGGCGTGTCCCTGCAGGCAGAGTGCCTGGCACACCCAGCCAAGTCCTACCTGTAGCTCCTTGTCCGAGTATTTCTGGGGGTTTTTGCTCCCTTGGCTCTTTTTGCGGAGTTTCTTCAGCTCAGCTTGGCACTTGTCCAGTGCATCACCTTTGCTCCTCTGCTCCGTCTGGTATTTCTTCAGTGCAGCCTGAGAAATGAATGCCAAAACAATGTGAGCAACGAGCCAGTGTACCCCTCTCACTCTCCCACTCCCACAGGGCCACAGTGGCCCGAGCCCTTGGATGGCAGCATTTGCGCAGCTGCAAACCTGAGGCCTCAGCTCTGCGCACCCTGGAGATAAAGATCAGGGCTGGGACCACCAGCTGGGCCTCCTCTCCCACCCCAGGGCTGGAAGAGTGTGAATTCGTGTAATGAACACTGGCAGTCCAGCCCCTCGCCCTTCTGGTCAACCTGGGGGAGGGGACAGGACAAGGAAACTCATGACAGCAGGTCAGAAGAGTTCGTGCAGGTTCCACATGATGGCCGCTGCACATCATTGTTGTTACTAAGAGCAGCTGAGAGGCATGGGCAGAGGGTCAGGGCACATGGGGCATCCGATGCAGGAGTCCACCCAAGGGTAGTCTCAAAGGGGCACGAAAGTCAGAGGAGCTGCAGGAAACCACAGGATGCAGAGCTCACGGGAAGCTGAAAACCCCTTGGACCAAGGGAAGTGTTCACATGGAGCCTGAGCAGGGCAGGTGGACCAGCAGGTACGGGTGGGCTACTTACACTCAGGTACCTGGAGTCCAGCTCCACCTTCTGCTCCAGCTGTGTGAGCAGCTCGTTGTGAAAAGACTTCAGCTGGGTATGGAGAGAAAACCAAGGTCAGCGCTGACGTACAGCCTGAGGGAGGAGCCGAATGGGAGAGGGGGCCGGTCACCAAGACAAGGGTGCCCAGGACGCTGGGAACCCCCATGGAAGAGAGGAGCTTGTCTGACCTGTGAGCCAATGACCCTGGTGGAACCAGGCGGCCCCAGGAGAGAGTGCTGAACTGGAGCCTGGCCTTCGTGGCCAGCTGAGTGTAAGACCCCATCTGGCCTGTGCCCTGTTCTCCCAGGTCCTTCTGTACACCCCTAGGCCCCACGATGGTCACCTCCTTCATATGTGACTTCTGTCGTGGGCCCTAGGTATGCCCCAGACCCGACCGTGACCACCGGGCGGCACAGGCCTCCCTAGGGGATGCACGGAGAAGCACATGCTTGCCTCCTCCTCTCCCCTCTGACAGCGCCTGCCCACCTGCAGCTGCCCCTGCCTCCCCCGGCCTCCCTGGGAGGCTGCGACTCACCATTTCTTCCAGCTGATTCTGAATCTGCCTGTGGACTTCGGCCATCTGGAAGAGAACATCCCCTGGAAGGCAGATGGCCGGAGAGAAAAGCAGAAGGGAAGTGAGAGCCTCAGAATCACTATCCCATCACCCTTCCTCAGCTGGGGAGTGCGCACCGGTGGGCCAGGCACAGGGGTTGCCGTGGTCTGGGAACTGGCAGGCAGGCAGGGGTGCGCTGGGGGCAGGGGGAGAGGTGCCTCTCCAGGTGATGCCACCCAGAGGAGATGAGAAATTCTAGAACAACAAGGATGCACAGTTGCTTGGTGTCTCTGGGGGCTTGGGGGTGTCTGCATTGGAGCTGAGGTTCATGGCAGAGGTCGGATGAGAGGCCCTACTTTTGCAGGTTTCAACCCTGCATGCGATCCCACGAACACTGGCATCTCCTCTCACTCACAGGTGCCAACTACCACTGGCCCACCCACCTTGGGCCCAGGCAGAGGCGGTAGCCTCGATGAGCAGCCCTTATGTCCTAGGACATGGTGTGGAGGGGGGGGTGACTGTGGAGGGAAGGACCCCATGGCCCAAGACACGCTATGGTCAGCAGAGCCCCAATACCCAGCACCCCAAATCAACGCTATAGTATAGAAGCTCCGGGCTGGGGCACACATAGCAACTGCCTCCAATGATCCTCAGAGCCACCGCCCACACCCACCAAGTCAGCACAAAGGACCTCCCTGGACAAATGGCTCACTTCCTCCTCCGCAGAGAGTGGGTCTGGAACGGGCAGTGTGGGCTGCATTCATTTCATTGGCAAGTATTTGCTAAACAGGCACTGACCACACACTGTGGCCACATGGAGGAAGGCCTGTCCTTGCCCTGGGGACCTGCTGACTAACTGTCCCGGAGGTGCTGCTTACACCAGAATGTCCCTCCCCTCATGGCCAGGCCACTCAGATTCACATGATCCTGAGAATTCTTTGGATGGGCAGCCATGAGAAGCACCCCTGGTCTCCACGAGGCTTGATAGAAAGCAGAACAGTCCCTGTGGCTCCTGCCCTAAAGGGATGACGCTGTCTGCCCTCCAAGGTCACATGGATGGCACGCAGGTGATCCCCGGGGTCATGTTCCCTCCCAGAAGCACGGCGGGATCTGGGGGAGGCCAGCTCCTCCTGGTCATTGGGCCATTCCACCAGCTGCTCTCAGCCCTGATGACCACAGGGCATGGTGACCACTGGCCGCATGTGGTCAGATCTCCACCAATCCTTGGGGCAGGCTACCCAAGGTCAGTGGGCTGTTAGGCGGCTGCAGTGCCCACCTCCACCCTGCAGGCCCTGGAGCCCTGCCTCCCAGGGTCTCTCCCTGCTGTTGGAGCAAGGGCAACCTCTCCAGCTGTCGGGTGCCTGCCTCCTGAGTTCTGAGTTCTCCCTCTCAGGGTGCTGCTGGACTGAGTTCCCAAAAGACTGGTTTCGCCTCAGACACATGGATGTCTGTTGAGGGAGGAGGAAGAGACGAGAGCACCTCTGAAGGAGCCCCAGGGTCATCTGGCAGCTGGGAGGAGCCGTCATGTGCTGGGGAACAGGCAAAGCCAACCACATGTCCCCATCAGGAGACATGGGGGGGGTGGTTTTCCTGGTGGTCTAGTGGTTAGGACTTGGTGATCTTACTGCTGAGGGCACAGGTTCAATCCCTAATCTGGGAACGAAGATCCTGCAAGCTGTGAGGTGCAGTCAAAAAGGGAGACACAAGCATGTTGGCAGGTCCCCTTAGTCATGAGGTCAGATCACACATGGCTGGAGCTTATCAGGCCCTGGGCTAAATGTCCGGCCTGCTGCTTGTGCCAGTGGAGGGGAGACCCCCTCCCAGTCAGCACGGGAGGAAACACAGACCCCAGGCTGGCACCAAAGGCAGCAGGCTGTGCACGGCTGCTGTGGAGAGAGGAAGAAGCCCAGGCCCAGCCTGAGGCCACGAAGGGTGCTCGCGGGCAGGGCCTGCGCCACAGAGCACGAGCGTGAGCAAGCACGTGGGTGTGAACGCAGTGTCTGTGTGGGTGTGAGTGGGGGAAGGTGTGTGCATGCGGGTACACAGGGTGTGTGTGTGTGAGCGTGTGTGGGAGTGAGTGCTTGCATGAATGCAGAGAGAGTGGGTGTGAGCGTGTGCGGCCATGTTGCGTGTGGGAGTGGAGTGGGCACACTTGTGGCTGTGTGCGTGAGCCTCCGTCTCCCTTCTCTCTCCCAGCAGCACCCCAGGGCGATGTTCCTGTAGATACGGAGCTCCAGGAAGCTAAGGGACCAGAGGGACCAGGGCTGGGCCACACAGGATCTGCCTCCAGGACCACGCTCACCCATGAGCGGGGAATGAGAGGACGGGGTGGGGAGGTGCCAGAACAGGGGCAGACCCCGGAGCTCCTGGGACACAACCCCCAACCCAAGATGATAAATGTTACTGAGTCACCAGGACGCCAGCACTGGGACCAGGGCACAGGCGACACCCGTTTGGGATCAGGAGTCCCTGGAAGTCACTTCCCTCAGGGTCCAAAGAGCAGCCTGACTTTGTGCCTGATGGTGCTGTGTGGCGCAGGGTGCCTGGGGACAAGAAGGTGCCGCCTCCACTGTGGCCACCCGTGGTCAGCATGGTTGATGGTCAACCACACGCCCAGGGCTGAGCTGAGGTCGACCTGCCCCAGCTGGATATGGCTCGAGTCTCACTCATCCTCTCCAAGCCCTGATCCACTTCTCCACTGGCCAAGGACAACAGGGGACGGAAGGTTCCTGGTCCCCATCCTTGGCTGAAAAAGGAACCACAGAGACAAATACAAGTGGGAAGCCCAGGGGACAAGGCCAGGCTGCCGCCACCCTGAGCCACCTGGCACAGGACTGCAGCTCCCGAGCGGGGTGAGCGCCCCCCGCCCAGATCTGATCTGCTCCGTGGGGATGCTGAACTGTGTTAAGAACAGTGTGCACCGAAGTCCGGACCCACAGGTCACCCGCGGGCCCCAAGGGCTCTCTCAAGTGACAAGAAGTCCATAAATAAGACAGAGCAAGTGGTGCTGCTGGACATACTTGAGGCCCCAGAATCACAAGTTAACATCTGACTCAAACTGAAAACACGTATTTCCTTAAAAGGCCATACACAACCAATTCAAGAATGTTTGAAAAACGGCAAAAACAACAACAAACAGCAAATCCTTTAAAAAAAGGAATTTTTGTTGCTAAGATGAGTATGTGGAGATTCTGGAGGATTCTGGCCTCTACACCCTAGGCTCCATCAGTGTACTGGAACACACCCCATTGCTTCTGCTCGCCAGAGATCCCCGTCCCGGGGGTACATGTGGGGAATGGGCAAATGGCTCTGAGCTGCAAGCCAGTGGTTGCACAAGCCAGTTCACACGGGGAACTTACACAAGCCGCTGCAGTAAGTCCCGTGAACACATCTGCAAGGTGGTGGTGTGTGTGCACCAGCCACCGGGCGGTGGACCCAGAGCACCGTGGGGGCACTGGGCCGGCTGCAGGGGATGGTCACCCCGTCCAGGGATGAGGCTGTGTCCCGAACTCGGCTCCCCAGGAAAGCAGGGAGCCTCAGGCATCAGCGTGGACACTCACGGGTCCTTTTTTACCCAAGTGCCTTCTGGGTCCTTGGAGCCAGGCGGCCAGCCAGAGCCACATCCTGTCCCTGGGTTCCGTGCACCTCCCCGATTCTCCGAGCTCAAAGGACAGCACGAGGGGGCACACCTTCGCAGGCCCACCCTGCCCAGGGAGGAGGCGGCTGCGGGCTTTGAACCAGGCCTGTTTGGGAATCCAGGTCCGGGTCTACAGTGCAGGTGGGCCCTGAACTCAAAAAACCAGGTTTAAGATAGCAGCGCAGACCTGGCCTCACCAGAGCAAACAGCGGCGAGCAGGGTAACCAGCGCAAGCGCTGCCCCCTGGTGGGACGGCCAGGGTCCCGGGACGTGTGAACATGGGGGGTGGTGGGCAGGTGGCCAGGCCCCCGGGTGCCGCGGGGCGGGCAGTGGGCAGACCACCCTAGCACTGAGGAGGGTTCGAGAGTGGCCCTTCTCACTGAGGAGAAGGGCACACACAGGTGCCACGGGGCTTCACCCGGAGAGAACCACGTCAGACACCCAGACAGGCACCTGAGAACCAGGCGACGCCCTCCTCAGCCCCGCCACCCAGTGTTTACCCTGCGAGGAGGCCGCCAGGTCAGGGGTGAGTCACCTCCGGCTGCACACCCTTTAGCACTGGAGTTTAAAAATTCCTGGTATTCCCGGTAACCTCATTAAACACCCGCCTCCCGGCTCTGGGTTAAGAGTGGAATCCGGCACACAAGACAGCTCCCTGCCCCCAGGGGAAGGCGGGGGCTGGGGCAGTGCACACATGCACACACACACACACATATCAGCACACAAGCTGTGCTTCCTCACAGACACAGGCGATGTGCCGGTCACCACCTTTCCCTCCATCACAGTCAGGCTGGTGCAACTAGGACAGGACAAGATCAGGACAGTCGCCACCCCCTCTGCTCTGTACACCTGGGGCTGGGGAGCCCGAGCATCCTGCAGATGGTGTGTGGACCCCTGAAAAGAGGCAGGGCGGCGGCCTTGGGAGCTAGGCAGGGCCCTTGGCCCCCAAGGTGGTGGCCTTGTCCTGGGTGACAGACGCAGAAAGAACTGGTCTAGCCTCCTAGTAGGGACGTGGCCCCCAACAGGGGCACAACACTGGAGCCAGGATGGCTGGACAGGGAGGGCTGGAGAGCCTGTTGGGGGCCCCACAGGCCACTCTGTCCTCAAGGGCAGTCACAAGGTCGAGCAACTGCCACTCCTAATTCCAGAAGGTTCTCATCACTCCAGAAACCTGTCCCCATCAGTGGTCACTCCCCTTTCGCCCCAGCCTCGGGCAACCACTCATCTAGTGTCTATACGGATCTCCCTGTTCAGGGTGTTTCCTATCAACAGGATCCCATGACACAGACCTTTGTGTCTAGCTTCTTCGCTGAGCGTTGTTAGTGGTTTTTGAGGCTCACTGGTGGCTGTGTCAGGGCTTCATTCCCGCCCCAGTCGGATGACATTCCAGGGAAGGGGCCATACTTT